CCACTTTCCACGTGTTTGAACCAATGAAGTCATCTGTTGACGTAATCGCTATGTTGTTCTTAGCGTACAACTTCTCTTCGCGACATATCAAATATAGAAGGTGACAATAATTGTGAGCATGAATGTATGTAACTGGGCAAGACGGCTAATATGAAGAGTGTGACAGCGGATATTACACTCTTGAAACAATGGCATTGGATATTTTTCAGAAATAAAGAAAGTCCACATTCTCATTTTCTCCTATGCGTGTCCGTTTTTGGTGAGTGCTTCTAGAACCAGGGGTCTAATTATTTGCACATTGGCACTGAGTAATGTAAAATAAACCCAAATATTAACTTCGTGCATGTAAGTGTCATTGTGATATGTCAAAAGAACTTCAAGTTTTCCAGGTACTGTCAAGGGCCCCCGTTCCAAAAAGCAATCGTGGTGCTAAGGTCAGTCTAAGTAAACTTAGGCTCAGTATTATTCGTCACACTGCTATTATGTGTATGTGTATAGCAGCCTAAGGAATAATACTGAGCCTAAGTGGGTGCTAAGGTGATCGTAACTCCCATACTTTAACATAGACTAACGACAGTCGTAGTGCTATGTGGAACAAGACCTAGAGTTTCACAATCAGACAGGCGGTCATACGGAAGGTAAATGCCCATATAAATGTGTTCTGCACACCGTAACCTGTCTTGTCGGCATCCAAGAAGAGTCCATTCAGGCACATCCTCGTCGCCATCTGTTGGCTACGTGTACCAACACACACTTGTAGGACTCAGCAAATCTTCACCTAGCTTCTTGAAGGAAAATATGTTTTGCATACGAATCTTTTACGATTGACCTAATTTTGCGGTGTGAGGTATTACGAAGTGTATTCAAAGCATCACACCACCCAGATTTACATGGAATCACATAGACGAATATGCACATTTCTGGACAGGGTTTCACCGGATCATACCGAATTTTAAACCAGCTGGCACAGGAACATTTAAGCTGTTGTAGCTGTGAAGTCTTACATTGTGCATTGTACTGACAGCGCAGTAGGTTGTTAAGTCGTGTATTGTCCTAGGTAGTTCATATCACCATATTTCACGTATTGGCTGTTAAGCTGTATATAGGGGTCAGATGGACAGTTGGTGTATTGTTCAGTAGATATTACACACCACATCTAGGTAATGCTTAAAGTCCGTGTTGAAGTAGGTTAGACTATCAGGTAACGCATTGTCTTGTCACTCTGAGATTATGTTTGGTGTCGAATATAGTGTATTGCTGTTATCTGGTGAATGTGCACCTACCACGTCCATATATTGCTGGATTGTTCCCAACACGTCCTATATCCATACCTACTTGCTGAATAAACACGATGTGTGACAAACAGTTTTAACGTAGGAGTATAATGTTGAGAATGTTCAGTTCAGTCTGGCAAAGCAGATCCAAGTCGGCAGGGAGATGTATGCATGGTTTCTGTTTTAACATGTATACACGGCTAGACACCCTGCAAAATATCCATCATCATCAGCAGCAGCGTCCCCTTCTTCTTCTTCTTCTGTCCATTGTATAGATGTGGGATTCGAACACGGTCCTTCAGCGTGGAGAACAAACGCTCTAGCCACTAGGTAACTCCACCTTTCCTACACGATGTCACCTTGACCCTTGAATTTCAGAACAAAGCAATGTAGCGGTGGGCGTTCTGCTTCTCTGCACTTGATGGATGTTACTATTTCATGTTTATCGATTAGTAATCAATATGTGTATGTGATCTCAATACATGGCTGTAAAAATTGTGTGTGGCAGGAATTGACTATATTAATTGTCAAGGAGTAAACATTGTAGAATCCGTAGGTGGTAATAGCGCCGGACTCAACAGACGTGGCAGAATGATTGGATTTTGATGATAAATATCGAGATGCACATGTGATTTCATATACACTTGGATTAATGTATCTGGTGGAATATATTAAATTATCAGTGTGCTGCACTCGTGTGAAGTCTGACACATACACACACACAGACACTCTCTCTCCAGAGTTTAGTGGATCAGACAATGGCAGGGGTGATCCAGTGTTAGTGGATCAGACAATGGTAGGGGTGATCCAGTGATTGATTGGTCAGACAATGGCAGGGGTGACCCAGTGATTGGTGGATCAGACAGTGGTAGGGGTGATCCAGTGTTTAGTCGATCAGACAATGGTAGGGGTGATCCAGTGTTTAGTGGATCAGACAATGGTAGGGGTGATCCAGTGATGGGTCGATCAGACAATGGCAGGGGTGACCCAGTGATTGGTGAAACAGACAATGGTAGGGGTGACCCAGTGATTGGTGGATCAGACAATGGCAGGGGTGATCCAGTGTCTAGTGGATCAGACAATGGTAGGGGTGATCCAGTGATTGGTGGGTCAGACAATGGCAGGGGTGACCCAGTGATTGGTGGAACAGACAATGGTAGGGGTGATCCAGTGTTTAGTCGATCAGACAATGGTAGGGGTGATCCAGTGATTGGTGGGTCACACAATGGCAGGGGTGATCCAGTGTTTAGTGGATCAGACAGTGGCACGGATGATCCAGTGATTGGTGGATGAGACAATGGCATGGATGATCCAGTGATTGGTGGATCAGACAGTGGCACGGATGATCCAACGATTGGTGGATCAGACAGTGGCACGGATGATCCAATGATTGGTGGATCAGACAATGGTAGGGGTGATCCAGTGTTTAGTGGATCAGACAGTGGCATGGATGATCCAATGATTGGTGGATGAGACAATGGTAGGGGTGATCCAGTGTTTAGTGGATCAGACAGTGGCACGGATGATCCAACGATTGGTGGATCAGACAGTGGCACGGATGATCCAATGATTGGTGGATCAGACAATGGTAGGGGTGATCCAGTGTTTAGTGGATCAGACAGTGGCATGGATGATCCAATGATTGGTGGATCAGACAATGGTAGGGGTGATCAAGTTTTTAGTGGATCAGACAGTGGCACGGATGATCCAACGATTGGTGGATCAGACAGTGGCACGGATGATCCAATGATTGGTGGATCAGACAATGGTAGGGGTGATCCAGTGTTTAGTGGATCAGACAGTGGCATGGATGATCCAATGATTGGTGGATCAGACAATGGTAGGGGTGATCCAGTGTTTAGTGGATCAGACAGTGGCACGGATGATCCAATGATTGGTGGATCAGACAATGGCACGGATGATCCAATGATTGGTGGATCAGACAATTGTTTGGGGGTGATCCAGTGATTGGTGGATCAGACATTGGTAGGGGTGATCCAATGATTGGTGGATCAGACAATGGTAGGGGTGATCAAGTTTTTAGTGGATCAGACAGTGGCATGGATGATCCAACGATTGGTGGATCAGACAGTGGCACGGATGATCCAATGATTGGTGGATCAGACAATGGTAGGGGTGATCCAGTGTTTAGTGGATCAGACAGTGGCATGGATGATCCAATGATTGGTGGATCAGACAATGGTAGGGGTGATCCAGTGTTTAGTGGATCAGACAGTGGCACATGATCCAATGAATCAGATCAACAGATGATCCAATCATTGATGGGTGAATGGATGGGTCAGACAATGATCCAATGATTGGTGGATCAGACAATGGCACGGATGATCCAATGATTGGTGGGTCAGACAATTGTTTGGGGGTGATCCAGTGATTGGTGGATCAGACATTGGTAGGGGTGATCCAATGATTGGTATGCCAGTCAGACCCTGAAAGAACTAGTTGAGTCACCGGACACAATCTCATGGAATCAATACTACAGGAATGTCACATCACCAGATACAATCCCATGGAATCAATACTACAGGAATGTCACATCTCCGGATACAATCCCATGGAATCAATACTACAGGAATGTCACATCACCAGATACAATCCCATGGAATCAACACTACAGGAATGTCACATCTCCAGATACAATCCCATGGAATCAATACTACAGGAATGTCACATCACTGGATAGACTCCCATGGAATCAATACTACAGGAATGTCACATCTCCGGATACAATCCCATGGAATCAATACTACAGGAATGTCACATCACCGGACACAATCTCATGGAATCAATACTACAGGAATGTCACATCACCGGACACAATCCCATGGAATCAATACTACAGGAATGTCACATCACCAAACACAATCCCATGGAATCAATACTACAGGAATGTCACATCACCAAACACAATCCCATGGAATCAATACTACAGGAATGTCACATCTCCGGATACAATCCCATGGAATCAATACTACAGGAATGTCACATCACCAGATACAATCCCATGGAATCAATACTACAGGAATGTCACATCACCGGACACAATCTCATGGAATCAATACTACAGGAATGTCACATCACCGAACACAATCCAATGGAATCAGTACTACAGGAATGTCACATCACCGGATACAAACATTTTGTTGTCTTCCCTAGTGAACATTCCATGAAACTTAATGGCGGTGTCTCTTTAAGGCTGACAGCTGGAAGGTCAAGACCTGCCTTGGGGCATCTTTCGTTGCTTCATACAAAAGATTCAATTGAGTCACAAAGACATTCTTTAAGACTGTAAAAGGAACGCTTTGGATATTCTGTATGTGAAATAATGGAGTCTGTGCATCACAGAAATTCTGCCACTTGTATTAATGTTGCCTAAGGCAACTGTTGGCAATATGCTGTGAGTACATGCAAGTGTTGCTGAACATGGCAGCAATATTTTGTGCATACATGTATGTTGCTAAACGCAGCACTTGCCAATAATTCATATTGTGTGGAACCAGTGTAACGAAGATCTGCCATATTTCAAACATCAACCAGTGACTGACGGCACGAGCACCACCAATCCTCCAAGCCACAAAGTCAAAACCTGAAATGTATTAAACACACCTGGTTTCAAGGATTGCACGTTGTCACAGTGGCTGAATATAACATGAAACACCAACCAATACCAACCAACACAATATCTACAAAACAAGAAACAACATCACATGGATTAACAGGATATTTATTAAAATATATATTTGCACTTTTAGTTAAACTTTTGTACAAAGATGCAACATTTCATGTATACTTTACAACCGGACCATCATTTTTTCATTAATATACACTTCATCACATCAATATGAAATATTCATATCTTTCTGATATTCTGACACCACACTCCATTTTGCTCACATTTTACACAAGCCATTGAATTCAGCACCACTGATAGGGAGATATAGAAAGGAGTCTTTCTACATCTATCTTTACTTGAATGTCCACACAGTTAACAGGCCTCTCTAACATTCACCATGCACCAAATCCACACCAATCCATGCTCAGAGTTCTATATTTTTACCCAAGTCAATGAATCATTTCTTGAATTTTCATTATCAGCTCCCTGAGGAATGTACAACCCGAGCTGTCTCACGAGTAGCTGGAGGGTGAACAGCCACACTGCCATTGAATCCTACTGGGTACCCATTTACTGATATGTGCAAAGAGAAGGAGTGACCAGGAGACACCACATGTAGTCTGTGTCTGGACCAAAGGCTATATAACTCTCAGAATCATCCATTGGATACCCATCTAGTCCAGTCCCTGTGACAAACTGCTCTGTGACTTGTGGGCTGTACAAAGGACCACATGCCAACATACATTACCAGTTTTTAAAACAATAATTACGATTATTATTACTATCATTATTGTAACATTCTGTTTTCTCTGCGCTATATGACAAGGCGGGTAGAGTTACTGGTAGATTAAAAGATTCCACATTTTGGAAAGTACAATAAAACAAATTTAACACAAAAAAGTCCGGTGTAGTATCACAACATCCAACTGCACCCATTTGAAAGTTCCGTTTCTCATGATAAAGAATTGGATTCTTGCACATAACACAATGTCATAAATCCTGAACAGAACCTGTCTCCAACCCGAAAAATAACCATATCAAACGGTACACTATTTTAATGGTCTTTTTAGAGAAAGGGGGACCCAAATGAATACGAATGAATCAACCATATTTGGACCAAGGACACCAAAAGGAGAACTAAGCCCAGACCAATAGTTTCCATCGAGCTAACAGAGTCCCATGAAATCAAATAAGGTTATGGTTATTTTGTTTGCAAAGAAGTTGGGCAAGGTGAAGCTATGAAAAGAATGACTGTGGATCAATAAGATTCACAATTTGTATACACCAGTCTCCATGGATACCACAGTGACACTACACTCTCCACAGCCCTGATGATCATTACCCAATTAGTGAAACGAGTTTGGAATGTGAAATTCCCATACTATGAAATTCATTGTGATACTTAAAGAGACTTAATGAAATCTGTACATTAAGTCACATTTAACATTCATAACCGTCACTACGCTGTTCTTGCTGTTCCCCCAGCACTAAAAGAGTTATTTGCACATGCAGATTGTGAAGCACCCCTAATTCCCATAAAGAGACTGCTCCCATCACTGAACGATCAATACCAATTACCTCCCCTTGACTGAGTCATCAATACCAATTACCTCCCCTTGACTCCCTGCCTCATTACCATAACAATCTGATGTTCTCTTCTTCAGCAGCTCACAGCTGGCTGACGATGAAATAGATGTCTGGTTTACACAAAAACTAAACAGTTAGACGTGTGTCAGAGCTCTGTGTGATGACTGACAGACGTGTGTCAGAGCTCTGTGTGATGACTGACAGACGTGTGTCAGAGCTCTGTGTGATGACTGACAGTTAGACGTGTGTCAGAGCTCTGCGAGATGACTGACAGTTTACTTCACCCTACATCTTTTGATACTGAACATATCAACATAAGAGAAAGCTTTTACTGAAGGGTGTTCATACACTTAATAGCAGTGAGTGAGTGAGTTTAGTTTTACGCCACACTCAGCAAAATTCCAGCTATATGGTGGCGGTCTGGAGTCTTGACCAGACACACGTAATAGCAAAAGAAATTAGGCTAGATTCCATCATCATCATCATCGGAAGCCAGTTTTGGATGATATGTAATTATATAAAAATGGTTTCCATGAACCTTAAATGATTACATTTAAAACTGAAAAAAAGGTATTGAGATTTTTCATGTGTAACTCAACAAAACAAATAAAAATTCCATTACACAAAATGGTAAGAACTCCCATAATGATGCCATCATAGGCATAACACAAGTTTCTTCAAGGAGTCCTTGGATGGTATTATAACCAAATATTGCACATAAACAGAGTTGTACTGCTGCTAAACCACCTGAACTACATAAAAACAATTTGGTTACCGTAACAAAATGAGATGCTGCAAAAATTAAAGCTTAGAATATTTTATGCCTATGTCCTTTAACAACTAGTGTAAATACATACCGGTACAATACACATGATATAGCACTGTTAGATATCCTCAACCTTATACAGCATACAGTTCATGTCACACCTCTTCATACAATATCTGCACCTGCGTACATGTGTTAGTGAGTTGACGTGTACACAGATCTACCTTAATGCTGATCATGATCTGTATCTGCACCTGCGTACATGTGTTAGTGAGTTGACGTGTACACAGATCTACCTTAATGCTGATCATGATCTGTATCTGCACCTGCGTACATGTGTTAGTAAGTTGATGTGTACACAGATCTACCTTAATGCTGATTATGATCCGATACATGCCCCACAGCTGTAGCCAGAGAGTGAGTATTGTTTTATGCCAGTTGAAGACTCCAGCAACACCTTGAGACAGTCAACCAGAAGTGTGTTTTCCACACATTGAACCATGCAGGGAATCAAACCCAGGTCGGCATAATGAGTGAACACTTTAACCACTGGACTACCGATCACCCCAAAGAGAAAAGAGACAAAGTTGCTTTATGTCTCAGTTTGCAATAAAAGATTTGTTTGACAGTGAAAGGGTTACTTGTGTGTCACAGACATGGACCCACAAAAATTCCACAGTAAATCACAATCCTGTCAGTCCTCTTTCAACAAACCAAAAGACCTAAGGCAACAATGAAATAATTACTAGACTTTATCATTTGTGTTCCTTCTTTCTTGAAGCAGCATTCTTAAAGTGGATGTGTGGCTCTATTCTTTAACTTGAATGTAAACCACAAAATCCACAATTCAGGTGAAGATTCCTCTTCTAGTTTGTTTAACAAAAATTAAAAAAGGTTCCTGCTGCCCATGACACTGTATATGAAAAATAAATGATAAATTCATTGTTGTCTGTGGCACAGAGTCTGCAGGTCTGACTGATAGGAAAATCATTATCCAATCAGAAGACAATTTGACTAGAATAATATATATATATACACACTGATACAATGATATACAAGATATATAATGATATACAATTGTAACACTGATATACAAGACATGAGTCACGACAATATGGTACATATCACAACATGAGGTACAGCACATTGGCTACATACTCCCATAGATCCACAGCCTATCAAGCTGTCATAGTTAGTGAAATCCTGTAAACCTGGACAGTAAATGTCTGGAATAACAAGTTTCCATGGTAACACATCATTGTTACACATTATGTTGGTGAATGTAAGAATGGGATAACTCCAAGAGAAGTGTCAAGGTATCATATCCCCTGATATGCCGCTGTTGTATCAAATTAGCAATACTCCTCTAACAGTCTAACAGACGGTGTATCTCCTAAAGTCGGCACTTCTTGAGTTCCCTTCAGTACACACACATTTTCCATGTACACATACACAATCTCAATCTCTTGTTATCAAACAGATCAACATGAATCAAAATTTAAACTACCATTGCAACAAAACACAAAACTGAGATTCTATATACCAGTAACTCTTCCACCTTCCTCAATCTTCTATACAGCAGTAACTGTAAAAACACAGATAACCCTTTTTTGGTGGCGAGAGATTATTGATGTTATGTGATCCTGACATTATGCAGAGATGCCAACCCTATTTTGGGCCTAAGTGTAATACTGGAGGTGAAAAAGTGTAATTTGGACCTAAAAAGTGTAATACTAAAAACACTTACTTAGTGAAAGGTATTACCTTTATAAAAATTACTTTTTAAAATGATCATTCACATGAATAGGAAAGATTCTAGACAGAAATACATGTGACCAATCATTATGAATTTCCATACATAGAAAATTGTTGGTCAGGCGACACAAATACTTAAATTCCTTGCAAGTCAATTGGAATGAGCTCGATGCTAAGAGTAAGCGATTCCAATCGGTGTAAGGCCGTTTCTGAACCCCTTCACCTGTGCGTTACGAAAAAAATTCCCTGTGAAATTTTATCCACTTTATTGATTTTTGCAAAACGAGTGGAAAAGCCTAATTTTCGCAGATTAAGTGTAATGGCGTAATTTAATGGTCAAATCGTCATAATTACGCCCAAGGCGTAAGGGTTGGCATCTCTGCTTATGGTAAAAAGATGACACCAAAATGGTCTGCAAGGCATTGTGGGATCATTTCTTTACACAAATATCTCCTGTGGAACCCAGTTTGGGATGGTTAATCGGGTTTTAACATGATCAATGTACTTTGATCAATGTCAATATTCACTGAAACAAAAACATTCATCTTAAACGACTGGCTGTTGTCCCACTTGCAAAGACTTTAGACCTACTTTAACATCTTAAAATATACAAAATCAGTATGACTTTTGTAATATATTAACAGAATAAAAACTTTCGTTCTATATTTGAGATTAATCATAACCACATAATATCTACCAACAAATTATAATAAAAAGTAAGATTCTTTCAGATATCATATTTTCTATTTAAATGGATTAAAGTGAGCAAGTGAAACACAGGTTTTTCGCTGTTCTCTCAGTTCTGGAAGTACAGAACATATCAACATACAAAAGATGAGAACTATCACGTGGTCACTCATCACCGACTGACTACACCAACACAAATCACCTTCCATAGCAGGAGGTCGCATAGACATGGAGGAGTTACCTCCCCTACATGTAAACACGCTGACTTGAGGAACATTGGAAAAGGTTCAAGGAGTTAAACTGCGGAGTTCTCATGATTATCTTCTCATCACACAGTTTCCAAAACCAGATACAGGGGTGGAAATAACCCACTGCCCAACATCCCAGTCCAGTGTTTTTTTCTGTCAGGCAAGCAAATTTGTATATCACGCTGTACCAGTGTCCAGTTGACATTCCAATGTTAATTATGTTATTATTATTTATATAATCAACAAGAAAATATCAATGTTTTCTTTTGTTTATCGGCCAGTTCTCTTTCGTTTTGGTGATAAAATATTTCACAGTTTACCTTTCTTAGTTCTTAGATATTGAATTTAATAGGTAGTTTATTATTGTTGTTTAAACTGTTATACTGTGTGTTACTACACACTGTCCATACAGTAATGGTCATCGTCATGTTGTATCAATATATTTTACAGGTACAGTGGAAACATTATCAGGGCAAGTGAGTTTACGTGTGCCACTGTACCAGAGTACACTAGCAATTTTAAAGTTACTTCCACCCCTGCAGTTACCTCATCAGCAAAGTCTTCACCGATTGTTTGCCTTGTATGTATGTCCTGCATGACAAACAGAAGGTTCTGTCTGAACACACCATCATACATTACGCATGGGGCACCTTGGAGTACATGATAGGTTATTCACAGATTTGAAACAAATGGGGTTCTGACCAAAGTATTGAAAAGTGTTTACTTGGCACCCACAAATATTCCAGCTGTATGATATTGTGAGCACCAGCCTATGTCACCGGGGCAGGATGCAAAGCAAGCAATCTTCTTGTCAGCCAACAAACAATACGCTCACCTCTGTCTTCAGCACAATACTGATTTACACAGAGTTACGGTTAACACAATTTCAATGTATAATATACATCAAAGCTGAAATCCAAATTGCACTGGTTCATAAAGCATCAGTTACCATAGTTAACCACAAATATATATAAAAACATTGGGTATGTAGGTACTACCGATCTGTTTCATATCCCATTACCGGTAAAAAATAAAACACAACATTTTATCATTGGGGATATCACGTGGACTCATACCAATGATAGGGATATTTGTATCTAAAGTTCAGCATTATTTGATTTAAAATAAAAATCTGTGACGATGTTGTGACGTTTCTTCTCTTTTTATGTGTTTATGACACGTTTGTTAGTCTTCTCTCCTTTTCCTCTTCTCTGTTTCCCCTCTCTGTTTCTTCATCTCTGTTCACAGCACGCTGATTTCCCCCTTGCAGTGGGCACAACAGTTGACAGTCAAGTTGTCGTAGCGAGCATCAGGGTGGAACCTCTCGACACGTGACCCGGGGCCAAACAGATTCCCTGATACAGACTTATGTACAGGATCCAGCTTAGTTTGTCTTGCAACCAGCTGAAACAGACATCGAGCCATAGATGCCATCATTTACTGGCTTTAAAATACATGTTTAAATGTCCCCGACACCACTGAGTTGGAGTGACTACCTAACTACTGATACACTGCAACTGTTTGCCTTAACAATTGTACGATATCCCTAGGAATTTAGCTTGCATAATGATTTATAATATAAATAGTTGCAGTTGGTTATATATAACACAAATTAAGCTTCAGAAAACTCATTTTGTACAATTGTGTGTTGATAGGCAGGGATTACAACAATGTCCAACTAGAGTTACTTCCCTTGGTTTGAGTAACAACTGAGGAAACATGGTGGTCAGCAATATTGACTACAACACTAATTAATATAATTTTCATGATGGTTTGATAGCTTTGCAATACTCTTACAAATAGTTACAACTATTGCAATTCTATTGCAATGGCGTTGGGTACTACTGTTATAATAAACTAATATTATCTCAAAATGCAAATTGAACCACAAGTCGCCCCCGTTGCAGACCAAACAGCTGGACAACTGAGCCAGGAGACACCCATGCTGCTCGTGTAAGATGATCCAGCAGATTAAACATGTCTCTAGGAGTAAGTAATTGAAGAAGTATGGTTTTACGTTGCTTTCAGCAATATTCCAGCAATATCATAGTGGGGTATCAAACCCGTGCCTTCGGCTTGACACTTTAACCGCTAGGCTACCCCCCGCCCCTGTCTCCAGGAAGACAGTATCAACACTCACCTGGTTGGCGAAGCTCTCCGCGTGGGTCATGGAGTTGTCCAGTTGGTCCTCGATGTTGATGATGGTCTGGATGTTGAGTTTGCCGGGTAGGAGGCGGTACCGGATTGCCTCCGACAACTGTTGGGACATTCGAGCCAGGTCGATGACGTTTGTAGACAGTAGATTTGTCGACTTGTGAGCATTCAGGGGATCGAAGGCCCCTTTCACTTGCTGAAGACACCTGCGAGGATTAGCGAGTGGAGTTAACAGCATAACAACACAACAGAACTTGGAGTTTTAGAGTACGCACAACAAATCTCCAATACAATTACACAATGCCATTTAAAATATGCCATTGTTGAAGTCTCGGTGGCTGAGCGGGTTAGGCGGCTGACTTTGTGTGCTGGCGATCTGGTGCCTGACTCTGGTGGTGTGGGTTCGAATCCCGGATGGGACTCAACCCAAAATGTACTAGAATTTGTACTTTACTAAGAAAGTGTAATCCCAAATATAACATATGCTGCAAATCTCCAATACTCGTTCAGCTTGGAGCTTGTGTATCCTTTTCAAGCGTTGTACCTTGATGTACTGTTCGAAGGCTGGCACAGGATGTACATGAACTCTACTCCAGAGAATAATGAATAAAAGAGGCTCATCGTATCACTGATTGTTGGTAAGACATGTACATCCCAATTGTTAGTTAATGCATCATGTTACACACTTGGGACAACTCAATTATTAGAAGTCATCTGGAACAACAGTGTTAAACAACAATACAACATATAAGGGAGATAACTCACTTCATGGTTTCCAGTAGGTTTGCCCGCAACTCATGCCTCTCTGTGAGCAGCTGTTGCAGTGCATCCTGGGACTCCTGGTATTGAAGCGAGTAGAAGGCTCGGGCACTGGCCAGCTCGTCAATCATCACTCTGGCAACATGTGATCAACACAGACTGTACATTCACCATGTCCTACATAGGGAAAATGCTATACTACCACCAGGATAACTAATGTTATCTTATAGTATTCAAGCCTTGTAGAAGTAAAGGTCATCAGAGTGAAGAGAAATCATTGTTGATTCAGACAGGACACATTTTGCTCATCATCTGACCCACTTCTGCCTGGCTTTCCGAGTACGGCTAATCTAGGTGTTGTGAGTTCTTCCAAACTCCATTACCAGTAATCATTACTTATTACAACTGGTGGATATTAGCAATAATGACTAGGTGGGAATGATCCAATCATCAGACATTTTCCAATGTAATGTAGAAGGTCCTTTTCTTTAAGTACTGAGACTCTTTCAACAGGGTAGGTGAGCTTCCCCGTAACTTCCCCTGTAACCATGGTAACAAACCTGCTAGCAAGGAACTTGGTGCGCCACATATCGGCCTGGATGGACACCTTGTCCAGGTTCTCGTAGTCCTCCGTCACCTTCCTGGTGTAGCCCCCGACCTCCATCGACAACTCGGCCTTGTCTCTACCCGCCAAGAAAAACTCTGTTAAACTCTCTGTTGAACACTCTGTTAAACTCTCTGTTAAACCGTTAAACACTCTTGTTTACTGTTACGAGAGTGTGTTTTTTTGTCATTTGTAATATCATTGATTAAGTGATAGTTATTATGGGTCACAATTTTTAAGGTTTTGAGTGTGGGTTGCAGCTCACATCTTGCATCATGCATTTTCAATGGCAATAGTATTTTTTAGCTGTACACCTTTTGAGATAGTGCTCCAGAGTTGCCTCCCTTGGCTTTATTTTTGTTTTGACCGGTCGTATGTTTGAGAAAATCGCATAAAGTTCTGAGTGGATAATGATGCTACCAAACTTTACTAGAATGCTCGAGAACTGTGTTGGAGCTATATAAAGGCAGCTTGTTGTGTTGACACACACACACAGAATCACACACTGACTTTCACATCAATGGATTTATATACATCTGTCTGCCTTCATCTAGCTGACCTACATTCAAGACTGTATATCTGCTCTCACTGTAAATGTCTATCTAATTTTGAATTCGTACTGATGGTTTTTTTTTTTCCTGCTGAGTATATTATTGTATATTTTAGACTTGTCAGTGTTTAAGTTTTGCTGGTTCATAGGGGACTCTTATACCTTTTGTCACGGCAAATTATTTAACTGTAACATTACTCTCACACTATCATTCATTTTGTGTGCTGATGACTGTCTGTGGTACTCACGTTATCTATCTCCATATGAGTTCAAGTCTGCTGGGTATTTTTAAACATGTTCAACCAATGTACGAACAGTTGTGAAACAAGATTCAGCTTAACTCGCTGTTTTAGGCAACTGCTAATTTGCATGTCAGTGTCATTTATTGTAGCAATACTGGACAATTGGAATATCATAATCAATGATCAATATACTATAATATTTTGTCCTTCATCAGTTAATGTACTGATTTAGACCATTAAATGGCCCTTATCTGCATCCCGGGGCAATATTCCAGTATGCATGCTGCGCTTACCGAGCCAGTCTCTCAACACGCCTCTCCAGATCCTCTCCAACAGAAGCAATCAGCAGCTTCTTCAGCTCTGTATTCACCTGGAACAAACACAACAACTTGTTTGTTTGATTGTAGTTTTACACCGCAAACAGCACACAACACTGAACAGTTTGACAACTACAAATATCATCAGCTACGAGAAACCTGTTCCATCATGTCAATATCATCCTGACTGTAGGAAGCAACGTACGGATACATGATCATGAGTATCTATAGTCACTCAACATTTCCTTATGAACAGGCTGTAACAATAACATTTGAAATTGTCGTCCCAAACATGGCCCTGCTCATTTAATTAGATCTTACACTGTCCACTATTACAAGAAGTTCAACAATGTTTAGTGGCTAAACAAGCTGAACGTGCATTAGCAGCGGTCCGCTACTTTCCAGTAATTATGAACAAAATTGATCTAAACCGGGACCCCGAATTTCGACGCTTTATTTGCCTCAAAAGTATTTATTTATGGTCCGATTTTAAAAAGGAAAAGTGATCTGAAATCAGTAGAATGTCAGCTATCAGACAATGTTATTTATATTCAGTTATCTGCAATATGAAAAAATCATGTGGTATAGCTAATTTAGCTGCAGGCTGTCATGATACTAGCAACAAAGTGATGCCCCAACCTTGTGCTGAACATCTAGATCCTGTTTTAGCTGCTCGTTTTCCTGCTTCAGTCGATCGTATTCATCCTTGCTGGGCCTGACCACTCCTAACTCTTGTTCAAGTTGGAGAATTGTGGAGGAGGGGCTTGGCACAGTGAAACGGCTCTCCCTTGACAGTGGAGTACCGCCCGTCACAGGGGCTATCACCTGTATTGGTTTTTGTGGAAGTTGAATAGTCTGGACTGTGGTCTGTACAGCAGGTGCACTCACTGCAGGTACTGGCCTGACAATACCAGCACTCTTAGTTTTAAAGTCATGCTCAGCAAAATGTTGCACTTGCTGTTGGTTGTCAGATAACTCCCTTGGCTTGGCTACTATTGTCTGTGTGGGAGGTGCTTGGGAGGTGATCTGATCTGGTTCTGGTTTTGAAGTTATTTGTTTATTTGTTTTCTTGGCAAGTTTTTTCCCTTGGAAATCATACTTGGGTCGTGGATGCCTCAACAACACAGTTTCTTGTGGAGATTTTTTCTTTTGAGCTGCTTGCATGATTCTGTTGAATTTCTGGAACAAATATGTCTGGAAAATGAACATACTGAACGCGTTTCAATGGCAGCTGATAATCAGCCAGGGGTTTGAACCCACCTTCTATTAATAAGGTCCATCATTACCATGTTACCTTGTGAAACACCTAGCACAGTATCAGTTTTTATTACAGATCTAAGAGAAGCAAATTCATGCTCTTGTCATATTTGTTCTTCATAATATTCATACTTTGAAGGACTCTTCACCACATTAATAAAGAATATAAGGTACTTCCTCACGCCAACTGCTCATCTAATCATGTTAAACATGATAAAGCTACATATCCATTATGAAAGTACTTAAAAACATATTTCAGTTCACTATTTATTACGAGGCAGGAGTGCAAAGAGAGGAGCAGCCAGGAGTGCGAGAAAAGATGGAGACGGCACAGCACAGGTAAATGAATCAATAACTTTGACACACAGAGAAGTGAAATCACTTTTCCAGCTGAGTTAACCTAATTAGCCAATACCCAACCACTGGACCATGGGAGCTATGACAATAATTAGTGCTCATTTAGAAAGTCATCAGCACCTGATTGTTCACTTTTCTATGCACACACAGTGGCCCTTTTCTCTAAGAAACTCTAAACCTGATAATAATGTACAGCGTTTCCTCAAACGGTGTCTGATTTATTTGTTAAAACAGGAAGCTGACCATGCCCTGCCCCACAACTAACACTAAGGAAGACAACATGGTGGCTCACCAGGAGGATTGAAAGGGGTGTTTGATAGGCAAATCAGGGTACGATTTCATTTTTTCTCACTACCTGCAACAGCTGCAATGAAGTGAATTAATCAGGTTACACCATTAAAATATTTTCTACACCATGTTGACAATTCCTTGTCAGCAGATTGTGAAGGATATTCATGGCCAGCTTCACTATCTCCATAACCTCTCACAAAACTGTAGGGATATTCACGGCCAGCTTCACTATCTCCATAACCTCTCACAAAACTGTAGGGATATTCACGGCCAGCTTCACTATCTCCATAACCTCTCACAAAACTGTAGGGATATTCACGGCCAGCTTCACTATCTCCATAACCTCTCACAAAACTGTAGGGATATTCACGGCCAGCTTCACTATCTCCATAACCTCTCACAAAACTGGAGGTCTGGAGGGATATTCACGGCCAGCTTCACTATCTCCATAACCTCTCACAAAACTGGAGGTCTGGAGGGATATTCACGGCCAGCTTCACTATCTCCATAACGTCTCACAAAACTGGCGGTCTGGAGGGATATTCACGGCCAGCTTCACTATCTCCATAACCTCTCACAAAACTGGAGGTCTGGAGGGATATTTTGACTGATAGCAATACCTGACATTTTCAATCATAAATTCAATTCTGTTTCCACTTGTCCTCACAAAACTGTAAACTGATTTATAAACATGGAAGCTTACTTATTTTCATTATTTCACTTCCCGTAACTGATTCAGCTGATAGTGATACACACAACAGGAAATGATTTATTTAATATGGGCAGTTTATGCCAATGAAACTGCTGCCATGCAGTGGTGGTAGAAAATGTTACATACACAGCATGCAACCCGACAATAAAAGTTACCAGCACTGGTCAGTGTTCATTCTAGGCCGTGCCCTTGCGCCATTCGCGCACTGCAAGTTCATATGGCGCACTTTTAAAATACTGGAGGGACGTGTTGGCGCACTCGAGATATTAAACATAAATCTGAAATGCATTACGAGTTTGTTTTCAAGCGTCAACTCAAAACACAGGCTTAGTTTAACAAACAAAATGCGCAACCCTCCCTCACTGAAGCGAGCTGTTGTTTTGAGTACCAAGAACTCTGCATGTCACTTTCAATTGCAAGCTATTGCAAACGACAGTGCGCAGCCTATAATTCAGTGTTATAAGAAAATCTGATGCTCTTTGTAAAACAGATTCCGATTGATAGGTTTCTTTGAGTGATCCAATCATGTTGCATGTAGCAGTTTTATACTTTTGTTGCCATGGTGGACACACCGTCTGTCAAATGCCGATGTCAATCAAAAATTCTTTCTGTTTTCGCAAAAAAAAGCAAAAACATTGTCATGGTGACAGAGAGCACAACCAACTGTGACAATGTTACTGAAAAGAGGATGGGTCTGAGGAGAAATTCCAGGACGATGTATCATGTCCACATGTTTTTCAAAATACGTGGTTGCAGCTTTTAACATAAATTGATTCTGATAGAACACTGTACAGTGTTGAAGTGTTCAGAAGTATTGAGGACAATATATTTGTCTGACTGTTGAGGAAATTATTAAGCGTAACAAGTATTCAGTTTATACTTTGAAGTTGATTTTGAAAATTAAAAACTGACATTACCTGATTGTAACAAAATGATTGTCATTTTTCATTGCTAAGCATCGACTTGTGATGTTTAAATACTATTGTGAAACTGTTGTTTCAGTGTTGGAGTGTTCATTGTTTCAAAGTCATTTTGAATTAATCCTAACTGTTCAATAAATGTTGAACAAATCTTGGGTTTTTTTTTGTTTCCCTTGTTCAAATTGTTGACCTTACCTGTACTGGACGTCAAATATTGTATAAGTAAGTGAACTCAAATTAGTAACAACTAGGTACTGTATCTCTCACAAGTCACAGTAATTTGACATGACCCACACTATTTTCTAAATGGCCCACATAACTGGGGACAGGCCCACTTTTTATTAAGGCTAGAATGAACACTGACTGGTGCAGCCTGGGTATAGCAAAATCAATCCTTGCAAGAGGTGCCAAACCCTAAGAGTCATTAAAGGAGAGTTCAGGAAAGGTGTAGCTAACTCTAATGATCATGAAGGAGTACATGGATGGAAATGGGATCCAAGGGCTATAGACGGTGTTCAATGTGCCCTAATCAGATCACAGCTAATCCTAAGGATCAAAGAGGCATGCAAGATCTAACGAGACCCAGAGTCACTGGTCTGAGGTTATTGCTGTATTTTTTAGCACCACTCCATAGTCTTGCCAACATTTTTCAAAATATTCTTTACATCAATTTAATCAGTCTACACGTTATCATCCTTCATTTTCTTAGCTTCAGCTAATGGAGTTCATGAATTATTCTAAAAACAGCAACAGCGTCAGAAAGAGGAACACATTGTATTTGGGGCAACCTGTGACAATTATTTTGAGGGATGAAAATATTGATTGGATTTTCAGAGAGTGACTCCCGATTTATAACTTGCAAAGTTTAAATTTGCCTGTTGAACTTTCTAACATGAAATAATCCCGCAATATTGCAGCAGGGGACACCAAAAATGGGTTTCACACATTGCACCCATGTGGGGCTTCTAACACAGGTCTATAGTGGAAGCATTAACTACTGGGCTAATCCACAGCCCCAATTATTTAGAGGTTGTGTAACTGACAAAATCAATGAATGGTAAGACTAAGAGTTCATCCCATTCCGCTATCCCAAATAATATTTATAAATTAATATATACTGAAATTATTAACAAGGCCAAATGGAAAAAAAATTGTGGTTCCGATTACAGCTCTTTAAAATTTATGGTAGGTAGGTTGGAATGTAATTTTTGTTACATTTTGTTTAGAGGTAAGGCATTACCAGTCATTTTTTATTTATAGGAATTTTTAAACCAAATTTGGTGTGTTGATAGAATGAAGTTTCAATAACAACAAAACACTTTGATTATGATACCAAAAATTATTATTACAAAGTTATTAGAGTTACAAGACACCTACCCACAGAAAAAAAAAATGACTTTTTTTTTTCAGCCATTTTTTTTGGTTAGGAACATTTCAAAAATATTTCTGCACTTCAAAAAAGTATGTGTAAGTATTCTATCTCTGTATTGGTATCTTGTCTATCCATTTTGGTGGTAATAGTCATATATTTACATTATACAATATGAAAATGAGACCCTGTAAGCGTAGCACCGTATCAATCATTTTTAAAACTTTCACACAGCTTTCATGAATAATGTCTGAAAACGAGTAAAACATAAGCAAAATAAGTATACATAGTCATTGTCATGGTAAGACAGGTCTTTCTACCCCAAAAAAGTGACAATAAAGTTGAATAAGAATATTTTACAGCTATTTATAAAAATGTGCTTGACCTTGAAATTTGAAGGTCATGAGATCTAAATGCATTCCGAAGAATATCTACAGTTCTACGTGTACAATTAACCTGAAATATTATGTGGAGCTAGAGGAAAGGACAAGTTACCCAAATACATATTGTTTTGTACACCAAAAAAATATAATAAAAAAGTTATCAGCATTCAAACACAATCACTCCATAAAAACGTTATCACATTTCTTTCCAACCATATATTTGCTAGGGTATTTTTAAAAATATTTCTATCCTTTTGAAAAATATTTGCATGCATTGTAGATTGTTAAATGGCATCATGTGTATCTATGTCTGCAATAAAAGTGACATATATAATATATTCAATGACAAAATCTGTCACTGACAGATTGGTACCCAATTCTGCTGTTTCAAACATATTACAAACTGGCCACTAGTGACATGTATTAATGACCAGAAATGACTAGAAAATGACAATACATGCATACAAGGCAAGTTTCATGTTAACTAAAGTCTCTGGAGTCAAAATAAGTAAAATCAAGTAAAATAGGGACCTCTTGCTCCTTTCTACAGACAGCGTATGTACCACAACGAAATGAATAAATAAGGTTCTAGAAACTCCTACATAATACATAAAATATATATCACAGGGTTGAAAACAAAAACCTGGCCCAAGGAGCATGTAGAATCTTAGCTAAGCCTTTTTATATCATATCCAATATCTCATACATGATGGATTGATAACATTATATAACATATCTGATATTTATATTAGAGGCCGTTGTCTAGGTGTCTTTTGAATATGATCATAAATACTTAAGCAAATAGTTTCCAACAAATACAGTTTCAGTTGCAAGTTATTTCATGATCCTGGGTCATATGAATCCATTTTGGCAAAGATCAATGCAGATCAATGCACAACATATGATGAAGAAACATTTTCTTTGAAAGAGTGCTATCCAGTCCTGCGCTTTCAACTCTATCACAAACTGTCAATATATGGCAGGTATAACTGTTTAAAATATATCACAAAAACAGCATACAGGTCAAGTTGCATGATAATAATAAAATCTGAAGAAACAATAGCGACCAATCTCTGTCACTTTGCAAAACATAAGTAGTCTGGCTTCTTCTCTTCAGCTGGTCAGCCCTGGTCCTGAAAATTAAGGAAAATAAAAATTAACATATTTTCTTAACAGTATGGCACTAATTAGATCGTGACAATTTAATGGCCCAAGGCTTAAACAGTAAATAATTGATTACATATTATTGTTATTTCATCAACAATGGCAATTTTTATATAACTTAAAAAAATGTGGAGGGATTTTGTAAATGGAATGCAACTGAAAACAGAGATAATACAAAAATGGTCAACTGCCAAATGTTGCTAACTTGTATATACTAACAGTAACACACAATCACATTTACTGTCATTCACTGTCAGTATTTCATTTTTGATAACCATGTCAATTTCACGAAAAAATAGGTCAACCCAGTGTGCACGTTATTTAGGCCAAGTATATATCATAATTGGATTGATTGGCGGTAATAAATGGTGTATATTTGTTCATTAGTTCAGGATACATCATATTGCAAGCATGAAAAATGTTGTCACTCACCTATTTCGTAGAAAGGCGGTATTTCCACGCTTGCTGACAAACACGATCTCAGCTGGCAGGCTCTGTCTGTCACTTGATCGCTAGGGAAAAGTACTTCCGGTATAGACGGTGGGGTCCTTTTCATTTTTATTTCGACATGAACACGTTGTTAAAAAAATACAATTCATAGTGCAGATTGAAGCTTGATAATTCGTCTACCTATGAGATTTTTTATAGACATGTGCGCTTTGGATAAATATGTTTTTTACACTTCGGAAGTTTTCACCTTCACAAAGTCAACATTTGACGTCACATTTGTCAAACTATGAAAAAAAATGTCTCTAGTTTTGTTATCCGTCTTTTCATTTGTGTATTTGTATTCTTTGTGCAATCAGAGGCAACGTTACAAATGCGCGTAAAAGCACCCCCCTGTTTTGACACATTTTTCTGACCATGTTTTTGTGCTTACGAGAGGAGCTGTTTCGGTTATCTCCCCTTGCCGCTGGATATCCCCCGGAAGTTACACACCGGATATGACATTAAGATTTCCTTTACATCAGAGTAACCAATCGTGTTTCGCCTTTCAAATGACAACGACCTGGCGTGTTGCTACAACAACAGAAAAAGCGGTGATCTCAAGGGATAACTAACAGTTGACGACGGTCTGCAACGTATTTTGCCGGTGATATTCGGAATAATTATGGTAAGTTGAACATGGATTTTTTACGTAACGAAACAAACCCTTCCCTTTTTATAGTTTGGCTGATATTTATTCTTTGACATGAACGACGTTCGCAAATACTGTCCAACTAGAGACTGAATATGTCACTCTACATTTGCTAATAAGTCTACACACGGGGACACAAACGGGTTATTTACGCTTGTTATCATACAAAAGAAATATTCATTGGAAGTTGATATGATATTCAAAAGACATTTTCCCTTACGTGTAGCCGTTTAGCAACAAGCAGTAGTGCTTGTGGTAATAGCGAACAGTGCCACTGGTTGACACTGGACAAAACGTGTCAGTGCTCCTTAGGACCAACACAGTGAACGATCTGCTGGTCCTATTGAATATCTACTAGACTCAACGGTACTGAACAAAGGGTAGTAAATGGTATTACATCATTCTAAATTAGCAGGCCCAAATTACAACTTCAGTCAGTTGACCTTTTCCCAGATAGCATGTGTAACACATCCATTAGTACCTCACACTGAAATCAGATGATTTATACAAGTAAGTGTGCACAAGTGGAATGAGGAACCATTCAGACAGGTTACCACTGTGCCATGAAGAGTCAATCTATCACTGTTATCATAATCATTATAATTGTATGAGTATCAATTACTTTGTTTCATTCCCAAAATATCACCAGACCACAAAAAGACCATCTATTTCATTTTACTACTAGACTAGGACCAGAGGGCCAGTGTTAGTGTCAAACGTCTGTTAGCATGAACACAGAATAGTTATTTTGGAGGAAACAGGTCTAAGCTGCCACTCTTCAAAACGTCCACGTGAAAAACTATAAAATAAGATAATTTGTCATTCCCTGTCACAAGTTGGTTATTGTTGTTATTAACCCATATCAGTTTTCGATCTAAAAAACGTTAAAATGAAAACAGCATTCTCTATAAGGAAACCCACGATGTGGGGAATCCTCATATCCCTACGTTCACCAAAAGTTGTAACCTCCCTTGGAACTTACATGAAAAATACTACCCTGTGTCCTCCTTCCCATATGGGAAATAAACACATCGTAACATATGTAATCCAAACAATTTACAATATACTTTGATCAGTAGTGAAAATTGTGTATGTTGCCTGTACTATGCTTCTGTAATAAATACTTCAATACTAGGGCTGCAACAAATACATTATAATCACAAATGTTGATTAATTAATACAATATTTATTCATGAATACTCTATAATGTTTATTATTAAGGAATTACACTAACAAAAACGTCTTGTAATTGCTAAGCTTGAAACATTTCAGAGATGTTTTTATTTAAGTAAACAAGCAATAGATTGTAACATATGATGCTCTTCATAATACTTTTTCTTCTCAGTGCTGGTTCGAGTCTCTTTCAGTCAAAAACAAATAAAAATTTAACAAAATTGTAAATACAGCTAGTAAAATAGCCGGGGTTACTTTCGATAATCTTTCACTTCTCTATGAGCGGCAAGTACTTTCAACAACTGAAAAAGTCATTAATGACACAACACATTTTTTAAATCTAGAGTATAAGCTTTTACCTTCGGGTCGCCGCTATACAGTGCCAATCACCAAGACTAAACGAGCTCGAACATCTTTTGTACCTCAAAGTATTGCAATTTTAAACAAATGTTGAATGTCCAGTTTTCATCTTATTCATTTATTTGTATTTAAGCACATATTCATATATTTTTATGTTTTTAGCAGTGTCATATTTTAAGTTGTTATTCATTTGTATTTTTGTCAAGCTCTGTGAACCAAAACGAATTCCTTTTAAGGTAATAAAGTATTGTCTGTCTGTCAAATGTTTTAAGTTGACAGTACAATAAGGGGGCTTTGGTGACTGACAGATGTCACAATACTGTTTGGCTTGTGTATATTCCATTTTGCACAATGTACTTTGATAAATAACAGACACATTGAAGTACGAAAGAATGATTTTAGTAAACTGTAAATATTTTGATTCTAGTGAACATGAAGAACAAGTTGAATTCATGAGATAAGAGACATGAGTGAATTGTAACAGTCCTCTTCAAGACTGACTTTGACCAGCTGTATGTTGTCTTCTCAAAACTTTTGTAAAATGTGTTCATTGCCCACACTGAATGGTGAGTGTGATGGGTTTGACTAGTGCTGTTAAGTTTGGAATATGTGAACCCAAACTCATGTGAACAATCAGCATAGATTAGTGTGACAGTCCTGTATGCTGTGTCGGCAATAGCTTCACCAGACCTGCTGCAATCTGTGTGCAGAGAGGATGTCTACTGTTGAAGATGTTTGATATCAATTGGAAAAGCTATGAAACAACACAAATGCATAATTTATCTATATGATAATTTGTCGCTGGTGGTTTGTGGCAGTATTAAATTTTTAGGTGTGGTCATTTAGCCTTGGTGTTAGTGGAACTCCTGTAACTTGTTTTCTGCTGGTGACAACATAGTGGTATTGTAACAGTGAAGTGTTAATGCTTGTTTCTGACATCCTAAGTTAATGACTACCACTGACTATTTAAGGATGTGCACGGACTCGTTAGTATTGGTTTCTAAGCTTTAGTGGCAGTGTGCTGCTATATCGAAAGCAACCAACAAACATGATATGTGTGCTGTAAGATGCACATGTACCAGTTTTGTACGTTGGTAACAGTAATCAATCTGCTGTCAACCCACAATTAACCAAAACAGATCCAAGCTGCCACTGACACACATCAAATGTGCTACAAGTTAATGTTCCTGTTTTTGTCTTTTAATCGTTGTTCATATTCTGGAATCTTGTTTTGGTTATGGTTGTGTGTATTATGTGTTTCAGACTGACCAAGACAGGTTTTGTTTCCTGGTTGAGTGGAACGAGGAGCAGGCGGCTCGCATCAGACAGTTCATTTTCACATACTATGTCAGCACAAAGGGAATTGAAATGGTAATTCACTAGTAATTCTGGTTCCTGTAATTGCAAATAGCAGCTTGTGCGAAACACTTTGAGTCCCCCACCTTAATGAACTTAGCTCCTAGCTTCATGTTCAGTACATTTGAGTGTTATCATATGGCCTTGTGTTAGTAAATCCTACTAACTCTCACAGAATTTGACTGGACTCAGTCTTCAGACTAGTAGCTAAGTTAACAGATGAATAGTCAGCTTGAAATTTGGATGAAAGGTTTTTAGAATTAAGTACAAATACTATGAAGAACCAGTGGTGATAGTGTGAGATTCTGTTACCGGCAGAGCAATACTGCTGAATTTTTTTTTTTTTCAAACATGTTTAAGATGATATCCAATATTTGATTGAGAAATGAATTATATATACTAATTGTGTATTCAGACAGGTGCTCTGATTTGCTTTGTCTGTTCGTGTAGACATAATAACAGTCAATCCTTTGGTATCCATGCATTTAAGCAGCAGTGATGAATAGGGCTGGGGCGATACAGTATGTCACGATATGATACATATAGCGATATTTTACCTGCGATACGATACATATCACTATACATACACCTTGAAAGAATGACACTGTATTAAGATTTAAAATGATTTATTTTCCTTATCCTGACTCATGCTTATTTGCTTTCTGATTTATTTCAAGGTAATTGTGTATAACAATAACACTATTGTGATAAATAAACAAGTAACTCTATCATACTTGTGTATTTTTCTCTAAATATGTACTTTATCATGTTAAAGATAATACTGTTTTGAAAAAAAGTTGTGTATCGTTTTGTATCGATACACCAGTCTACGATACAATAGCTGTATCAAACTTTAATGTATCACGATGTATCGGTGAATCGTCCCAGCCCTAGTGATGAATGAGAGTGTCAACGTCTGTCTGAAAGCCAGTCTAACAACGTGCTACAGAGTTATGTCCCTTAGTTACAATATCCTCGTCAGACCTGCCCATTTCTGCTAGTTGCAGTTTGTCTCAGTACTAAACCTTTGGTCTGTTGATAGCATTTATTGATGTTTACTATCAGTGGTTAACTATTTGCTATTGTCATCAATGTAATGTTCATGACCAAATGTGACTCCTAGGTTCATTAATACCCAAATATGTTCTCCCAGTATTGCATCAAGACGCGAAAGACTTACCTCAAAACCAGTCTGAGGGATAGTCCTATTGAGCTGAGTGACCTGTACATCGGCAGTACACTCAACATTCTGGGGCGACAGATTGTTATCAAGGACTACTCCGACGTCTACACCAGGAACAGGCTCTCCAACAAGAAGGAGAAGTATGTGTGCCAGGATTTACACAGATACTGTGCATCATGCTTTGGGTGTAAAATTTACAACTTTGATCGTACAATTGTGCGTGTTCTCCTTCCAATTTCATTTTTGCATAAAATGTCCATGCATACACTTTGCACATTATTAAAGCACTAGCAACTTGCAGCAATTTGCAGTGGGCCTACATTGACAACAAGAGCCATGCTTTCAATATAGGGTTGAAATATCCATTGCCCAGTGATATAAGGTCTCTGATTGGTTGCTGAAAATCATTTTATCAGTCTTTACCGCTATAGATAAGGGACTAATTGTTATAATCATAATGTTCAGTTCAGTATTTCTTTAAGAACTTGAATTGCCAAATTGTCTTTCTGAAACAGTTAATTAGTGTTAAATTGTGGCTAAATTTATGGTGGCATTAGCAGCATTAAGACTCGCTCATCGCTCACTCACTCACTCAATCTGGAAGACCCCTTTAGAAAACCCTTCAAAACTACAGTTCTAAATAAGATGGGAATTCTTTTGTTATCTTTATATATTTTGTTTCTACACCATACACTACCACTCTGTATCAAGATGCTGTCAAGAAGGCAGCAAATTCTGGATGACACAGATGTGTGTGTGCATGCACCAGGAGCACAAAGGGAAACCATTCTTAGAGTGAGTTTGATATGTTCACAAGTAGAGTGTATTAGTTTTAATGTATGTTATATGTGTATTGTATTGGTAAGCACCTAAGATCATGTATGTGCTTATAGTAACTTCAACAATGTATTCAGTAAGCTTGCCTTGGCTACATTCCAGTGCACTGCTGAACTATGTAACAAGTGGTCCTGTCATCGCTCTGGAGCTGGTTGGCGAGGATGCTATACAGAAATGGAGAGATGCAATCGGACCCACAGACCCCACTGTGGCAAGATGCGAGGCTCCCAACAGCATCAGGGCTCAGTTTGGCACAGGTAGGGGAACAGATAACAGCATCAGGGCTCAGTATGGTACAGGTAGGGGAACAGACAACAGCATCAGGGCTCAGTATGGCACAGGTAGGGAAGAACAGACAACAGTATCAGGGCTCAGTATGGCACAGGTAGGGGAACAGATAACAGTATCAGGGCTCAGTATGGCTCAGGGCACAGGTAGGGAACAGACAACAGTATCAGGGCTCAGTATGGCACAGGTAGGGGAACAGATAACAGTATCAGGGCTCAGTATGGCACAGGTAGGGGAACAGACAACAGTATCAGGGCTCAGTATGGCACAGGTAGGGGAACAGATAACAGTATCAGGGCTCAGTATGGCACAGGTAGGGGAACAGACAACAGCATCAGGGCTCAGTATGGCACAGGTAGGGGAACAGATAACAGTATCAGGGCTCAGTATGGCACAGGTGGGGGAACAGACAACAGCATCAGGGCTCAGTATGGCACAGGTAGGGGAACAGATGGGGCTCAGTATGGCACAGGTAGGGGAACAGATAACAGTATCAGGGCTCAGTATGGCACAGGTATCAGGGCTCAGTAACAGATAACAGTATCAGGGCTCAGTATGGCACAGGTAGGGGAACAGACAACAGTATCAGGGCTCAGTTTGGCACAGGTAGGGGAACAGATAACAGTATCAGGGCTCAGTATGGGCTCAGGTACAGGGGGAACAGATAACAGTATCAGGGCTCAGTATGGCACAGGTAGGGTAGGGGGTAAACAGACAACAGTATCAGGGCTCAGTATGGCACAGGTAGGGGAACAGACAACAGTATCAGGGCTCAGTATGGCACAGGTAGGGGAACAGATAAATCAGAACAGTATGGCAGGTATCAGGGGCTCAGTATGGCACAGGTAGGGGAACAGACAACAGTATCAGGGCTCAGTATGGCACAGGTAGGGGAACAGATAACAGTATCAGGGCTCAGTATGGCACAGGTAGGGGAACAGACAACAGTATCAGGGCTCAGTTTGGTACAGGTAGGGGAACAGACAACAGTATCAGCATCAGGGCTCAACAGTATCAGGGCTCAGTGGCACAGGTAGGGGAACAGACAACAGTATCAGGGCTCAGTATGGCACAGGTATCAGGGCTCAGTATGGCACAGGTAGGGGAACAGACAACAGTATCAGGGCTCAGTATGGCACAGGTAGGGGAACAGATAACAGTATCAGGGCTCAGTATGGCACAGGTAGGGGAACAGATAACAGTATCAGGGCTCAGTATGGCACAGGTAGGGGAACAGATAACAGTATCAGGGCTCAGTATGGCACAGGTAGGGGAACAGACAACAGTATCAGGGCTCAGTATGGCACAGGTAGGGGAACAGACAACAGTATCAGGGCTCAGTATGGCACAGGTAGGGGAACAGACAACAGTATCAGGGCTCAGTATGGCACAGGTAGGGGAACAGACAACAGTATCAGGGCTCAGTATGGCACAGGTAGGGGAACAGATAACAGTAGTATCAGGGCTCAGTATGGCACAACAATGACTAGGGGAACAGACATTACATGTTGTTGAGTATCAGGGCTCAGTATGGTATCATCACTGCAGAGCTGGAGTTCTTCTTCCCATCATCAGGCCCCAGTCGAGGCAGCCGTCTTCCAGGACTGTACCTGCTGTGTCATCAAAGCAGTTGTCAGGTACCCACAAACATGACATTAACTCAAACTGTGCAGACCCTTTATCTCCCAATATCTCCCTTTCACTGCAATCCATTCAAGTAGCTTCCATTTTCAGAGGCAGTGGGGTAGCCTTGTAGTTAAAGCTGCTCGGATATTGACCGGGTTTGATTCCCCATGGGTGCAATGTGTAAAACTTCATTTCTGGTGTACCCTGCTGGGATATTGCTGGAATACTGCTAAAAGTGGCGTAAAACTACACTCGCTAACCTATATTATGTTCTTGACACCTAACAGTGAAGGTCTGGGTTAGAATATTGATCTTCTGTAACCCATGCTTGTCGTAAGAGGCAACTAACGGGATCAGGTGGTCAGACTCGCTGACTTGGTTGACAGGGTACAATGTGTGAAGCCCATTTCTGGTGTTCCCCGCCGTGATGTTGCTGGAATATTGCTAAAAGCTGCGTAAAGCCAAACTCAGTCAGTCAGTCCCAATTGCGCAGATCGATGCTCATACTGTTGATCACTGGATTGTCTGACCAGACTCTTTTATTTACAGACCACCGCCATATAGCTGGAATGTTGCGGAGTGCGGCGTAAAACTAAACTCACTCACTCACTCACTCTTGACATGTAGTTACCGTAATTTTGTGGTTGACCTGGAACATACGACAACCATGAGTGTTTTTCTTTGATGTTTATACTTGTTTCATTGGTTATATATTCTGCCAAATGTCCCCCGCCCCATCGGGCTCATGGGTCTATGTGGCTTACGAAGCCAATAGGTCCCTGGCATCCCAGACTTGTGGTATGATCTGCCTGGACACAGCGTTAGACTCACATACTGTTGTCCCCCGCCCCATCGGGCTCATGGTTCCATGCGGCCGACGAAGCCATCCCTGGCATCCCAGACTTGTGGTATGATCTGCCTGCCCTCGCCCCATCAGGCTCATGGTTCCATGCGGCCGACGAAGCCAATAGGTCCCTGGCATCCCAGACTTGTGGTATGATCTGCCTGGACACAGCGTTAGACTCACATACTGTTGTCCCTCGCCCCATCAGGCTCATGGTTCCATGCGGCCGACGCAGCCAATAGGTCCCTGGCATCCCAGACTTGTGGTATGATCTGCCTGGACACAGCGTTAGACTCACATACTGTTGTCCCCCGCCCCATCGGGCTCATGGTTCCATGCGGCCGACGAAGCCATCCCTGGCATCCCAGACTTGTGGTATGATCTGCCTGGACACAGCGTTAGACTCACATACTGTTGTCCCTCGCCCCATCAGGCTCATGGTTTCATGCAGCCGATGAAGCCATCCCTGGCATCCCATTCCAAGACAGAACGATTTACTCATACACTTTATCTGTACATACAGGTATTGCTGGGAAGGTGATCAGTGGCATCACCGATGCAGGGTTTGAAGTCACGGCCATCGAGATGTTCCACATGCAGAAGGCTAATGCGGAGGAGTTCTATGAGGTGTACAAAGGCGTTGTCCAGGAATACAATGGTATGGTGGCCGAGCTAACGTCAGGGCCCTGCATCGCACTTGAAGTTCGTGCTCCAGGATGCACCTAAAACGTTCCGAGAGATGGCTGGACCCGCAGATCCTGTGAGTTGCTCCTTTTATTCCAGTGAGAATGTTCTCAAAGCTGTCACAATGTGAGTAGGATCCAGATTTTTCCAATGACAGTTCAATACCTTTCTGGGGATGAGATAATTGACCAAATGGATGAAGAATGGCTTTATTCCATGCCGTCTGCTCAAACAAACTGTGTGGTGTTAGGTCAGGGTTAACTGGATGTATGAGTGAGGGTTACCTGTAAGGATCACTTGGGCAAGGGGGGCAGTCATCCAAGTTGCAGCTATATGCTGTGAAGGGTTGTGTCCCTTTGGTGTCAGGATCCTCTGATCATGGCTTCAGACATCCTGAGTTAACTTGTTAATACAGTCGTGCCCCGTTTATCCGGACACTTATGTTTTTCTTGAAATTGTCCGGATAAACGAATTTCCGGATATCTGAACCACGGACCATATGTAAAAAGACATACAAAGATAATAGACCTCAGACGTAATCTTTATTGATAAGACATCAACACATAACAATCCATACATAAAATCACATCTTGTCAAATAAAGTAGTCAAGTCAATAACAGGTGCGAACAAAGCTGTACATGCATCTGTCTGTCAAATGCTAGCAACCAATCACGAAACAGTTCTGATGTCATCCACGCGTTCGCATTGTTCCTGTACCTAACATCTAACATAAACTTCCGGATTAAAGTCACTACCAAAACAACGGTGACTTCTAGCCTTTCCAATCACAACTCAAAGTTAACTCAGTGTCACCTTAATAGCTCGCTAATTACAGGTAGTTAATCCTCTCATGCTTCAAAGACTGCCGAATTCTTTTATGTTAGGGCACGCAAAGCCCTCTGTAAAATGTGTGTGTAAACTTTACTGACACGTGCTCAGCCATCCGGATATACAAGAAAAAATATGCATATAATTTAGCGTTTTGTATGTGATAATGACCAGATTTCCGGATAAGTGAGTAGTTTTATAACATTGTGAATTCGTTTTGAGGAATTTTTGTTCGGAAGGCGAGTTTTCCGGATATCTGAGGTTCGGATAAACCGGGCACGACTGTATCCGAGCTTTACCAACACCATCCACAAAAGTCTAGGTCCTTGGTCTCATTCCTTAAGGAATCACAGTGACATAACTGTCAGTGTTATATTTTGGGAGTGACGATCATCTGAGTGTTTTGTGTGAAACTGGGCCAAAATCTTCACGCTTTTCTCCCACATGGAGGTGCTGACCAATGCTGTAACTGAAGTGCTGTTCAAATGAGAGTCAACATCAACGCTGTTAAAACTTAATAAGTGCCTGTGTACTCATACAGTATAATCTGGCACCTCTGCACATGGGTTAATGGTTAATGCATTGGTCTGATAACAGGATCAATGAAACAGAAGAGACCTTAATGTTTACTTTTACATGCTGGCACTGAATGATTAATTCATTCTTTGAAATAAGGAAACATGAAATTTCAAGAAATCCTTATCTTAAATGCAGATACATTTTCTCAATTTATCTGTCATGAGAGCTTTGTTTGGAATCCTAGATAAATTCATTCTCTGTATATACATAATGAAAAAGAGTAATAATGTAATCCAGCTGAATGTGTAACTGTGTGTTATGGTTTCCAGGAGATTGCACGTCACCTGCGACCACGGACACTGCGGGCTCTGTTTGGGACGGACAAAGTATGCAACGCTGTCCACTGTACGGACTTGCCTGAAGATGGCCTCCTTGAGGTAAGTGGCTTCAGTGCCATTCTAGGGTTGAATAGAAGGTGCTGTTTGCCCTCAGAGCCGTCCATACCATGAAGTATTTCTAACATCATATATGAGGGTTCTGGGTTAGAATGGGTCCCTAGCAACCTATGCTTGTAATACAAGAAAACTTGTTGACTTCGTTGATGTTGTGTGAATGTTAGAATGTGCTGTTTGAATGGATTGTTGATCATAATATTAACCACTAGATTGTATAGTCCCAAGTTGATTGTATACAGGCTGCTGGCATGCAGCTATTATAATATGCTGCAGCATTAAACACATGATCAGTAATAAACTGGCTATATCTCCTAGGATGAAGTATCACTGGCATGAAATGGCATCACCATTGTGACGTCATCAGTTGACATGACGTCTCTCTGCTACCGAAGCTGGTTAGCTTTTACTTTTTGTGGTTAAGAAAACACATAACTGTGTAATTGGAAAAGTATGAAGAATGATTTTTTGAGGAGTAGAATATAACCCTCTTTTGATATGAAATATATCAATACTTGCCAACACTGACACAATTGATAATCCCTGATGGTTAGGATACTAGATTTTCGGGGCAAGTCTGTCCTGACAGTCAGCATATATGTACAACTGTGAGTGGCGGACTCCAATCCAGATGTATCATACTGGTACAGTTCTGTCCAGATTGATATGGTGTCACTTGAAAACTGCTTGTTTGCACCAAGTCATGTATATAAGACTTTCACCTGGCTCTTGTTTATTTCAGGTGGAATATTTCTTCAAGATACTTTGCCGTTAATCATCCCATATGACGCCAAAAATCATCCCCAAAAGACCTTGTGATATATTCAATTTGTTACCCAACGTGTAAATTCATGGATTGTTAACATTATTCTGAAACTTGTAATACGAACATTCATTTCCTGAAGGTGGTTGTTCATTTTCATGTCAACTGTTTGGAAGTGAACGTACCTAAATGTATTTGACATGTTGGAAAACATGTAGTGAACGTAGGGATATCCCCTCGCGATCTAGCAGCTTGGCGCTTTCATACATGCAAGAGATCTGCATAACACTGGTTTTATTTATTGTACATGAATCTGCAGATGTTTTACAAAGCTGGTGTATTTTAATTCCAACATAAAGTACATGTATGTTTTTATATGAAGACAATACAGACATGGTAGAAAACCTGTGTTTCGTTGTGATTTTGGTGGAGTTGGATCTGCAAGAGCACCCCTTGCTCTACATCTGCTGGGGTCAAGGTATCCTATCCCCCAGAACTGTATGACTGTTGGGGAACTCCTTTCTCCAGACCAGTTTGACTATAGGGGCATTCCTATCTCCATACCTGTTTGACTGTAGGGGAATCACATGGGAAACCTCAGACCTCTTTGACTATAGGGGAATTCCTATCTCCAGAGTATCTCTCCAGGTTTGACTGTGTCACTTTGGTGTATCCTGTCTCTGGAAAAGTCTCAGACTATAGGTTGGTGTATCCTGTCTCTTGAACTGTCAGACTATAGGCGAACCCCTCTTTTTAGATCTTAATGACTTTTGGAACCCTACTTGCTTTAAAGGAGGGCATCCCAGTCCCAAACTGCTTGACTCAAGGAAACCCATATCTCTAGTCCTGTTTGACTTTAGGGCTTCCCCTTCCTGACACTGTTTGACTCCTGGCCTACCTGACTTCAGGGTGTCTCCAATTGCTAGGTCTGTGCTGTCGGAACTAGAGAATCTCCAGACCTGTTTCAGATATGATGCCTATGTTTATAGAAATAGTGTAACTTGAATTGCTGTTGTCAGATGTGTTGCCAGAAGATGGCGAAAGGAGCATGTGTCACTGTACAGAGTGGCATCCCTTTGTTGTGCCAGGATACACTATGTGTACGTTCAAATCCTTGGTCTTGTCAGAACTATGCCAGTTATAGGCATCTGTGATGTTTATAAATAAAAAGACATGTCTGCACACATTTCATAGCCAACAACATCAACTATGAATCATTTGTACAGTTCAAGCCAATACACAATACAGATTCATGGTGCAATATGATGTTGATCGTGCCAGTTTTATAACCATCCCCCAGTGATGGTGCTGCTCCACCAACTGCTGGTGTTTGCCCGTTATGCCAATTGTTCAATTACCTAAATCTATACACTGTGTTAATCCCATTTCATGGGTCCGCTATATTGCTTTTAGCAGTGTAAAACCATAATCACAAACTCACTCTAACTGGAATAAAACTTTGATCAATTGAAGCTGCCTGACCATTGTGCCCATGGCTGAGACTGACTCGCCTCAGCTTGTGAAGATAACCAACCTGCATCATTCTCCAGTCTCCAGTGTCTACGTGATCTAGTGGACAGCAGTGTGTCTACCTGGAGACTGGAAGGTCGATTGTGTTTTCTGCCTGGCCATTAACAAATGAAACAAGGACCAGTTTGCTCAGAGCCATTATACTGTGTCTGTATTGGATCCAAGTTAAACAGCAGTATGCTATCTCAGTGGGCTAGCAATATAAAACTGGCAATAGTTTGGATTAGTACAAGCAAACACAGACACAGGCACATATCACAAAGTAAATGCAATAATCTTGAAAGTGCCTTAACCCTCTGTCACCCTTATGGTCTACAGGCATTGCTTGTTGCAACTGCAAAGTTTACCATGAAAACAAAGAGTTATGTGGATTTGGGGTTTTTCAGAATTAAGTTCATAAGCTCATTGCTACTAGGCTCTCATCTATATTACCCACAGTCTTTTTTCTAAGAAAATGTGGGGTTCCTGATCCCCAGATGTGACGCCAGCTCAGTTGATGTGTTGCTGACCTGACATTAAGGTGTCATGAACAATGGATGACGTCATCTTCAGTTATACGTGACAATGCCTTCATGCCCTTCTTTAGCTCTTCACAAATAGTGAAAACGGTTCACTCCCATCATGACTAATGAAACAACAAAGGTACAAAAATACCTACCCACAGAATAATGGACTATTCAGGGCAGTCAGTCATTCATGGAGAATGTCTAAAGAGATGTTCTAATATCCTTTTTTTCACTACAATCACACAGAATTAACTAAGCAATCTGTTAAGATACATGTATCTGCAATCACAGTAAGAATGTTCAGGGAAAAAGGTAACAGAAGCTGTTTGTGTTGTTCAAATGTTACATATCACTGTGCTTGTTGAAAAAGAAATATGTTTTCATTGGAGAGCTCAACAAGGAGAGTTCTCTGTCCCACAATAATATTAAAGAAGGTGTATATCCATAGAACTCTCCTTGTTGTTCATCATACCACCTTCTAAATGCCACTTAAACAAGTTATTGGAGAGCTCGTTTGATAATGTTACATTATATTTGATTACACTTTCTCAGTAAAGAACAGATTCTAATACTTTTGGGGTGTTTAGTCCCATATGGAATTCAAACCCACACGCTAAATCAGGTATCTAATCGCCGGCAAAGTCAGCCATCTAACCCACCCATCCACCACAGCTTCTACAAACATCAACACACACTGCTGGTAGTCTAGATCACATACTTTATGTACCCTCTGACAGATGAAATTTGCATGGATCGCACAACCCACACGGCTGAAAGCTATGAATACACATTGCTTTTTGTTTTGAAAGTGATTACATGTAACATGTTATAGAGAGATAATGTTTATTTAAGTCTCATGTTCTGTACATTGTCATATAATACAAACATTTTGGTGAAGTTTAAAAGTACAGATAACCACCTGACAGAGACTACTAAAACCAATAAAAACATTATAAACATACAGTATTTACAAACATACGAACGTATACATTTTAAAGTAACTGAACAAGTACAGGTATGCATATATACATACAACATAAAGACATATACATACAACATAAAGACATATAAACATACAACATACAGACATATAAACATACAACATACAGACATATAAACATACAACATACAGACATATAAACATACAACATACAGACATATAAACATACAACATACAGACATATAAACATACAACATACAGACATATAAACATACTTAAACACACATAAATACTAACATGCATATATACACACACACCGCATACATACACGTACATACCTACCTGCACATATATATACACATGCACACGTACACACACGCATATACACACAAACATATATGCACACATACATACAAATGCACATATTACTTACGCACACGTACACATACCAAAACAGACAGAGATGTACGCACACATGCACACTCTCATAAAAAGACGCATACTACATGTGCGCACATACACGTACCTACATACATACATACAAACGCACATACATGTATATAGATACAGATACATACATACAAAACAAGTGTTTGCCACTGATGTGGCAATGTCCCCCGCCGCTAAAGAATGGAATATCTATATTTACTACTTTTTATTTTTGGGTCACATACAAGATGCCTGAAATGACTGGTGTCTGCATAATCACCCAATGTAGGCTGTCAACATACTTGAAAACATTGGATGCAATGTTTTATGAGATATCGCCTTTAAAAAGCGGTCAAAGTATTGTGTTGACCTTGAAGATAAGGTCAAGGTCACCCAAATAAACTGGTGTCTGTGTAATACCCCAATGTAAACTGTCACCAAATTTGAAGACACTGGGTACAACAGTGCATGAGATATCGCGTTAACAAGAGTTTGAAAAGTGGTCAAAGTGTCGTGGTGACCTTGAAAATAAGGTCAAGGTCACCCAAATCGACTGGTGTCTGCATAATCCCCCAATGTAGGCTGTCACCAAATTTGAAGACATTGGGTCTATGGGCCGGGGAATGGGCCTATACAAAACATAAGCTTCAGGCTTCAAATCTTTCTTGGCGAGGCGGTATGTACGAAGTTAATTTCCGTTTGGGTTGCCATGGCCAGCCCAGATATCACAAAATAATCTGTATTCGTCAATGATATGAGCTCTCGTCGAAGTTGTGTTATGTCTATTGTAGATTTGTTAATTTGCTCATAAACATTGAGTTTTATTAGATAGTTAGATAGTTTAAAACATTTATTCTCAGGAATGACTTCTGTGGAGAGACCAATCATGAATACAACTTGGTAGTCTATGACAGGGCATATTCTTCAGGCGTCCGAATAATCCGTATTCTTCTAGTCTCTGTTTAGTTACACTGGCGGTCCACCCCATGTCACCCCTTGCAGCAATATTAGAGGAGTTCAGTCCCAGTCCCAGAAAGAATTTGCAGGCTCTATTTTGAATTGTATTTAGACACTTGTGTTCATACATACCCCAGATGGCGCTACCGTATAGAGTTATTGGTTGCACAAGGGTCTCATACAGACTTGTAAATATATCAAAGGTTAAAGCACCAGCGTCAAAATATTTAGAACATAGAGTCCCAAGGACTTTCCCAGCTCATTAATCACAACTGTAAAATCTAAAAATTCATTTAACCAGAGTCTAAGATATTTATGATTGTCACTGTATTCACAACATTCATACTCCCAATAGCGAAATTTTGTGTTGTGAACGCACTGTAGTCTTTGATCTGAAGTGTAAAATTTGGGTCTTCTTTGGATTAACACTTAGTCTCCATTAATGACACCAAGAGTTTACATCATCTAGTAAACACTGAACGTTCTTCTCACTGGGTGCGATCAGAACAACATCATCTGCATACAACAGTATACTGACATTTCTTTCATTGATATCAATGCCACAGTTCAGCTCACATAGGGAGTCAACAAGATCTTTGATATAGAGTGGAAAAAGCATCTGTCAGATCAAACATCCTTGCTTTACTCCACAAGGTGCATTACACCAGGGATACAGATGACATCTATTCTAACATCTCTGTTATATGTGGGATTACACTTCTCAGTAAACTGCAGATTCTAATACTCAATGATGTCCTTGGAAGTCATCTTAATAGTAATAAACTCAATAATAAATGACACGTTTTATGGATAACAACTTCTTATTATTCTTGAATACAACATTTCAGATCTAATTCTTGCTCCTTCATCAGGTGAGTGCTGAGTCAGATAACAATATAGTGCACAGATATATACATCTAATTGCCTCCATATTATGTTATCTTTTTACATAAACACCCCCACTCCCACTCTTGGCTTTGACATTACATTGCTATCTATATACATTAATCCTAAGTATCTAATTGGCTTCGTGATTATATTTTTCATTGTGTATTCTCCCATCTTGCGTTGTGTAGACCTATTTTGTCTCTATATATTCACTCTGTGCACTGACTCAGCACTCACCTGATGTAGGAGCAAGAATTAGCTCTGAAATCTCGTATATAGAATAAGAAGACGTTGTTATCCATAAAACATGTCATGTATTCATGTCCGTTGAACTTCTAAATGCCTTTCAAGAACTTCATTCACATCATTCCATTTGGAGCGCTCGTTGGATGACCTCACGTAACCTTGCACCGATGACCCTGTCCTTCACCTCCATCAAGGTCATCTCAACTCTAAACTCTTTGCTCTGCTGGGCGCCAAATATCGGGAGAAGGTGGGTACACTGAAAGGAAGTTGAGCATAATACCTTCTCATTGTTGACATCAATGAATGTCGCTCTGCTTCTGACTGGATCATAAACCACTCCATACGTCACCATTGACACTCCTGGCTCATTCCTGAATGGGCGATCAACACAAATTGTAGGAAAACATTTTGTGCATATGGTTTTTGTATAACAGTAGCCCATGCTCAGTCCATATTGTTTGGTTCTACAAGAGTCTCTATACCTTATATATTTTTGTGTATCAACTAAAGATGGCTCAGAAAATCCAATTTGAAATATATATGTTTCTATTATTGCTTCTTGTGTTATTTTAGCATTTACTTGAAAGTAGTAGGGATCTGTTGGGTCACAAGTCGCATGGGCATGAGAGGGAACAAGCTGACCTTGACCTTGGTAGAACCCAGATGTAGCGATAGGTTCTGAGGACAAGATGTAAGGAATGGTCATGGAGCCACAAGTACCGCTGTAATTATTTAACTTCCTGTGTGTGTGTGGAGGATTCATGGCAGGTTGGTTGACCATGTATCTGTCACTGACGCTAACCTTACTGAAGTTTGCCCGCAATACATCAAACTTTAGTGGAACACCTGTTGAAAGAAAAACATGCTACTTCTGTGACGTGCCATACATGAATTGGTGCACAATGTACAACAGCTAATCTAAGAACGAAATTAGATTATTCTCATTCAATGGATTTGCTTGACTTTTTACAATTTCAGCACAATTAGAATTAAATGGTGTTTCATAAGAATTGCAACAACTGTAAGCATCATTAAAGCTTTTGAAACATTTTAAATGTTTCATGGTCGATATGCAGAGGACATTTCAAAATTTTATGCATCAGTGGTCAACATGATGTGGAACAGGATACACTCACTGTTTTGCAGACACCTGGTGCCATCACTATTTGGTGTTCAGTATATACTTACAGTTGAGTCTGACAGGCCGATCGCTGGTGTACTGGCTGCTGACCAGGGTCAAGTCACTGGTCAGCCTCACACCTGAAACAAGTCGTTATACACCATGATTTGTTTGTTTGTTTGTTTGATTGTTTGTTTATTTCTTTGGTGTTTAAGACCGACTCTGCAACATTCAAGCTATATGGCGACAGTCTGTAAATAATCACGTCTGGACCACACAATCTGGTGATCAACAGCATGAGCATTCAACCTACACAATGGGGTATGATAACTTGTGTCACCCAAGTGCACGAGCCAAACCACCTAATCGCCTCTTCTGACAAGTTTGGGTTGCTGAAGATAATTTCTAATAAAATGATACACATAAATTATATATTGTCCAGTACTAACTTGACACAGATTGAAACAGACCTTACATATCTGCCATTATTATCAATCACTAACACATTTTACACACATAAACACAAACATGCTCTGTTAGGCTGTCATAATCATTACAATACTTTCACAATCATTAGGAATAGAGATACGTTAATATAGACACTCTTATGTATGTCGGGCAGTGGGGTAGCCTGGTGGTTAAAGCGTTAGCTCATCACGCCGAAGACCCGGGTTTGATTCTCCACATGGGTACAATGTGAAGCCCATTTCTGGTGTCCCCTGTCGTGATATATTTCTGGAATATTGCTAAGAGCGGCGTCAAACTAAGCTCACTCACTCTTCTGTATGTTTCCACATACCTGCTCCTTTCATCTAAATTAACAAGAACCATACCCACCTATTTTCTCTGCCAATGTCTTAAAGGTGTCTATCGTTGCTTGCTGCTTCTGCACCTCCTTCCTGAGAGAGGCAGTGGACTAAACACACAACAATAATGGGATTAAATGCACAATGCCTTTTGGAAAGATGTGAAATGCTACATAAATAATATTTGAGGTTACACTTTCTCAGCGAAGTACAGTGTATTCACAGTTTCCCCCCACGGCTGCCCTGACAATTTACACTTCTCAGAGGGGTAGACAAAGTATGTGGCCAAGTGGATGACAGCACTGACTCTCTGTGCTGGCGATTAGATGCCTTACTCAGTGAGTGTGAGTTCGAATCCCAGAGTACTACAGAGGTAAAGATAAGCTGCATCTCTGCGTAAATTACGCAAATATTATGTGAAAACTGAATTTCTATTCAGTCTATTGCGTACAAGTACGTTTGAATTTTTGTAAATACTCAATAATTGTGATCTTACATGCGTCCACACAAAAATGTCAACTCTTAGCTTGCGTACCGGTGGAGAGATAAAATAACTGAGGTATATTGAGAGGTTCTATGTCAGGACATGAACTTGACAACTCGCAGTCTTTCTTATCGTGTCTCATATTACAGATCAAATATAAATAACAAACATCAACTTTTAAACTTTACTATATTTTCAAATTTAATGGAAAATGGCAAAATACCCAATTGAGTTTGAGTGAGGTGAGTACAAATTATTTGGTTGAACAAAGAAGAATTAGGATACCTAATTGAGATGAACACAAGTGTTGTACATGAGTACATAACTCAATGACCCCAGAATCAAGTACCTGTACTAGATGTATACTTATAGGTTGGTCCATTCATTCATTCTGGGTCCAATGTGTGAGGACCATTTCTGGTGTCCATGATTTTGTTGGAATATTGCAGCGTAAAATTAAACTCACTCACTCATTCATTCACTTATTTCTGATTTTTTACAGGGTTGCGTGGTCTTAAAATCTATATTACCAATGACTATTAGGATTGCATCTGATGCCCTCCCTGTAGACTGTTATTGATAAAACACTCATCACTATATGGCTGAAGCAATGTTGATGCCCTCCCTGTAGACTGTTATTGATAAAACACTCATCACTATATGGCTGAAACAATGCTGATGCCCTCCCTGTAGACTGTTATTGATAAAACACTCATCACTATATGGCTGAAACAATGCTGATGCCCTCCCTGTAGACTGTTATTGATAAAACACTCATCACTATATGGCTGAAACAATGTTGATGCCCTCCGTGAAGACTGTTATTGATAAAACACTCATAACTATATGGCTGAAACAATACTGATGCCCTCCGTGTAGACTGTTATTGATAAAACACTCATCACTATATGGCTGAAACAATGCTGATGCCCTCCGTGTAGACTGTTATTGATAAAACACTCATCACTATATGGCTGAAACAATGCTGATGCCCTCCCTGTAGACTGTTATTGATAAAACACTCATCACTATATGGCTGAAACAATGCTGATGCCCTCTCTGTAGACTGTTATTGATAAAACACTCATCACTATATGGCTGAAACAATGCTGATGTCCTCCGTTATTGATAAAACTCATCACAATATGGCTGAAACAATTCTGATGCCCTCCGTGTAGACTGTTATTGATAAAACACTCATCACTATATGGCTGAAACAATGCTGATGCCCTCCCTGTAGACTGTTATTGATAAAACACTCATCACTATATGGCTGAAACAATGCTGATGCCCTCCCTGTAGACTGTTATTGATAAAACACTCATCACTATATGGCTGAAACAATGCTGATGCCCTCTCTGTAGACTGTTATTGATAAAACACTCATCACTATATGGCTGAAACAATGCTGATGTCCTCCGTTATTGATAAAACTCATCACAATATGGCTGAAACAATTCTGATGCCCTCCGTGTAGACTGTTATTGATAAAACACTCATCACTATATGGCTGAAACAATGCTGATGCCCTCCGTGTAGACTGTTATTGATAAAACACTCATCACTATATGGCTGAAACAATGCTGATGCCCTCCGTGTAGACTGTTATTGATAAAACACTCATCACTATATGGCTGAAACAATGCTGATGCCCTCCCTGTAGACTGTTATTGATAAAACACTCATCACTATATGGCTGAAACAATGCTGATGCCCTCTCTGTAGACTGTTATTGATAAAACACTCATCACTATATGGCTGAAACAATGCTGATGCCCTCCGTGTAGACTGTTATTGATAAAACACTCATCACTTTATGGCTGAAACAATGCTGATGCCCTCCGTGTAGACTGTTATTGATAAAACACTCATCACTATATGGCTGAAACAATGCTGATGCCCTCCGTGTAGACTGTTATTGATAAAACACTCATCACTATATGGCTGAAACAATGCTGATGCCCTCCCTGTAGACTGTTATTGATAAAACACTCATCACTATATGGCTGAAACAATGCTGATGCCCTCTCTGTAGACTGTTATTGATAAAACACTCATCACTATATGGCTGAAACAATGCTGATGCCCTCTCTGTAGACTGTTATTGATAAAACACTCATCACTATATGGCTGAAACAATGCTGATGTCCTCCGTTATTGATAAAACTCATCACAATATGGCTGAAACAATTCTGATGCCCTCCGTGTAGACTGTTATTGATAAAACACTCATCACTATTTGGCTGAAGCAATGCTGATGCCCTCCCTGTAGACTGTTATTGATAAAACACTCATCACTATATGGCTGAAACAATGCTGATGCCCTCCCTGTAGACTGTTATTGATAAAACACTCATCACTATATGGCTGAAACAATGCATCTGATGCATCATTAAATGTTAACTCACTAGTGCTGAAATTACTGCTGATACACGTCTATTCAAAGAACTGTGTCCAAACCAGATACTTACATCCTTTTCCGCTTGAAGCTGTTTCATCGCATCATCTGAAATATATACCTTTAAATCTTAAAAAATTTCATGTGTCAAAACAAAATAATTAAATTGATTTAATCAAAGTTTCTTATGTCACGTATTTTGGCTGACATTTGTTTCAAAAGTGACAACACAATTCCCAATTTGTAAATGTCTTAAATTTTTAAGATTTCACATTTCCACATATATTACCTTTCTTTTTCACCTCAGCTGTTAGTTTTTCATTCATCATTTTCTCGGTCTGTAAAAATGTCAAATATAATATTTATTTCAGTTGTTAAAACATAGCAGCTCATAATTTCAGGGGGTTAGTGTACCCTCGTCATTCTTAATCTCTATACAAGAAATTGCTTGCAACAACACACAATCAAAACCTAATTTACTCCAACTTATGAACAATGATTACTGGGTAAATATTGACTTATGATTGTTTTCTTTTTAACTGCAATAAACATTTTTATTTTATGACACTCACCATCAGTAACCTCTCCTCAAGCTCATGTTTATTTCTCTTTAGAACTTCAATCTCTCTCTGCAAGAACTCATACCTTGTTGAACCTAAATGCAAAATATAAGCACGTACAATAAGGGTATTATCACACGTAAACAAATTGTGTGATTGGCAGGTGCCACTTGTGTGTATTGAGGGTTACAATCAATCATTCGAGATTTGGAGGCAGGTAAATTTGTGGGAACATTTAATGTATCTCTCATTGAAAGGATTTGTATTCCATGTATCGCACATCTTTTTTCTGTGTCCAAAATGATGAAAGTTGATTTAATTATCTGAAGCCCACGTAGTAGTATTCACAATTTTGGGGGGCAGTGGGGTAGCCTAGTGGTTAAAGCATTCAGTCGTCACACCGAAGAACCAGGTTTGATTCCTCACATGGCTACAATGTGTGAAGCCCATTTCTGGTGTCCCCTGTCGTTATATTGTTGGAATACTGAAGTAAAATTAAACTCACTCACAATTTTTCTATTACTTGTGTCAAAAAAACAGACTTATGCTGGGTATGATAAACTTCCATGTCAAATTACATTTGTACCCTGCTGTCTTAGTCTAATATCTTAAATATAATTTGTATTTCCACTAAACATTTAGACATAACAAGAGGATGAAGAATGACCTTGGCTGTCCTGTGGGTCATAGGCCTGAGACTCCCGGCCCAACGCCGTTAGGAAGCATCCAAAGGAGGCAACGTCAGTCTTGAGACTCTGGAGACCCTGTGTGGAGAACGTCACAGCTGCTGCTGCCTCCTGCTGCTTCATGGCAGACACATGCTCAGACATACAGGAGTCCACACTCCGCATCATGGTAGCCTGAAGCTCCAGGTACTCTACAGGGGTCAAGGTCAAGGCCTTCTCTATGTAGTCCAGGGAGGTTGTCAGGGAGATCTGGGATGTTTCCAGTTCTTGCTGCCTATCCCTGGTGCTTTGTCGGATGTGCTCAACGCAGGTCTTCAGGTCAAGGTCAAGTTCCTTCTCTCTCTGGTCAATCAAAGACTTCAGCTCAGACATTGTGTGAACCTTCAACATTTCCAAGGAATGGAATTTCTCACCCACCTTCTCTCCAATGCTGTTGATCTGTAGAATGGACTCATTTAAGGATTCTTGATGGATTAACAGTTGATTATGTTTGTTTTTCAGTTCAAGTTGTTTGGATTCAAATGCCTCATCGATTTCTTGGACATCATGATCGTCACGTTTACATTTCAAACACATCATAACTCCACATGATGCATCGTAGAAGGCAACAGGCTTTTGATGTGTGGAGCAAATAGCATCCTTGTCTTCCACAGTGATCCCATCTTTTGCCAATTGGTCAATTGTCTGAATTTTGTGACCTTTTGTTATCTTCATATCACTGTGAGCCACTTGACAATTTTCACAAAACAAAGCCTCGCACTGGATACACCACACAACAGCCTGCCCCCCATCTTGTCTGTTCGTGCACAGCAACTGGGAGGGTTGATGAAGGACAGTCAGATGGAAGATCTCTCGTGCCCTGACTTTGTCCTCTGGGAACTTGTGTTCTTTATCAAATTCTTTATGACAATATGAACATTCCAATGTTGCTGTCTCCGAATCAGAATGGCAGACGTCACATACAGCGTGTAGACATGGCAGTAGTCTGGGTGGTGGTCCTTGGTAGCAAAACTGTTGCTTGCAAATGCTGCACTTGGGGAACTGGTCCATATTTCAGTTCAACTGTAAACTCTGGAAGGTAAAAAATAACAATCTTAGTCTTTTACACAGCTTACATAGCTCCTGGGTATTAACTAGACAGAAAGGAGACCATAATATGTGATATCAATAGACGCAGGGGAATAACTAGCCAGAATTCTATAAGGAGACCAACATAGGTGATATCATCAGACACTGAGGAATAACTAGCCAGAATCCTATAAGGAGACCATCATATGTGATACCATTAGACACAGGGAAATAACTAGCCAGAATCCTTTTAGGAGACCATCATAGGTGATACCATTAGACACAGGGAAATAACTAGCCAGAATCCTTTTAGGAGACCATCATATGTGATACCATTAGACACAGGGGAATAACTAGCCAGAATCCTATAAGGAGACCATCATTTGTGATACCATTAGACACAGGGGAATAACTAGCCAGATTCCTATAAGGAGATCATCATATGTGATACCATTAGACGCAGGGGAATAACTAGCCAGAATCCTATAAATAGAACATCATAGGTGATATCCTCAGACACTGGGGGATAACTAATCAGAATCCTATAAGGAGACCATCATATGTGATATCATTAGACACAGGGGAATAACTAGCCAGAATCCTATAAGGAGACCATCATTTGTGATACCATTAGACACAGGGGAATAACTAGCCAGATTCCTATAAGGAGATCATCATATGTGATACCATTAGACGCAGGGGAATAACTAGCCAGAATCCTATAAATAGAACATCATAGGTGATATCCTCAGACACTGGGGGATAACTAATCAGAATCCTATAAGGAGACCATCATAGGTGATATCATTAGATACTGGGGAATAACTAACCAGAATCCTATGAGGAGACCAACATAGGTGATATCATCAGACACTGGGGAATAACTAGCCAGAATCCTATAAGGAGACCATCTTAGGTGATATCATCAGACACAGGGGAATAACTAGCCAGAATCCTATAAGGAGACCATCTTAGGTGATATCATCAGACACACGGGAATAACTAGCCAGAATCCTATAAGGAGATCATCATATGTGATACCATTAGACGCAGGGGAATAACTAGCCAGAATCCTATAAATAGAACATCATAGGTGATATCCTCAGACACTGGGGGATAACTAATCAGAATCCTATAAGGAGACCATCATATGTGATATCATTAGATACTGGGGAATAACTAACCAGAATCCTATGAGGAGACCAACATAGGTGATATCATCAGACACTGGGGAATAACTAGCCAGAATCCTATAAGGAGACCATCTTAGGTGATATCATCAGACACAGGGGAATAACTAGCCAGAATCCTATAAGGAGACCATCTTAGGTGATATCATCAGACACACGGGAATAACTAGCCAGAATCCTATAAGGAGACTGGAATATGTGATATCATCAGACACTGGGGATTAATTAGCCAGAATCCTTAGGGAGACTGTCATATGTGATATCATCAGACACTGTGGAATAACTAGTCAGAATCCTAAAGGGAGACTATCATATGTGATATCATCAGACACTGGGGGATAACTAGCCAGGTCCCTAAATGGAGACTGCCATATGTGATATCATCAGACACAGGGGAATAACTAGCCAGAATCCTAAAGGGAGACTGTAATACGTGATGGCATGCTGTGGAGTAACTCTGTCCTGGGTTTAACAATGAGAACATCATCGGGGGCAGCGGAATTGATGCCTCAAAATCCAAACATGGATATTATCATTGGGCACTTAAGTATGTATGCCCTTGTTCAAGAATCATGAATCACTGCCTATTAAGTTATTGACAAAATTCACATTGAAGTGATGACAAAATCACTGCACAAGACTCTATGAACAGACAAGACTTGTGAGACAGTCACATGACTACAACACTCACATTTCCTTCATGCTCCAACAGAGCCTCCCTTAGGAACACAGATACCTACCAGTTTCGTGTAACCTGTACAAACTTGTGCCAGAATTGAAGAGACATCACTATGTCCTTTTGTTGTATATGTTCAACTGTTCAACACAACGCCATGCTTATGACACGGTTACTCATGCCATATGTCATGGCAGCTCAACAGCTATGCTGAGGTCAATGTGACCTTACAGTTGTAAACTGGTTCCCGTGTTGGGATGCGCAGCTACATGCTTTTGTACTGTAGCGTTTATTATTGTGCAGATGTTTTATCCTGCACTGACTGACTGACTGAGTATGGTTTTACGCCGCTTTTAGCAATATTCCAGCAACATCACGGCGGGGGACACCAGAAATGGGCTTCACACCATGTACCCATGCGGGGATTCGAACCTGGGTCTTCGGCGTGACGAGCCAACGCTTGAACCACTAGGGTACCCCACCGCCCCTTTATCCTGCAAGCTGTTGGTATGCGTAACAGGGTGTGTGTTCATGTATATGTACAAATATAGAAAGTGGTGGGAGAGGGCTGCGTGGAAATGCTAGGGTGGATGGGGTGAGTGGGGTGTGCTGGAGGTGTGCTAAGGCTGGGTGGGGTATGCTAAAGCTGGGTGGGTGTGCTAGGGCTGGGTGGGGTATGCTAATGCTAGGCGGGAGAGGCACAGCAAGGTGGGGTGTTGTAAGGTTGGGTGGGGTGCTGCTGTTGTATGAAGCGAATAGCCTCAGAACTGTGCCAAAGTATGTGCTTTAGATATGCCAGAAACCCGTTGTCACGGACGGTTCCCAAGGAAGGACACCCAGATGCAGCCCATGCGTCCCAAGTAGGGACACTCCAACCCAGCCCCACGCGTCCCAAGGAGGGACACTCCAACCCAGCCCCACGCGTCCACAGGAGGGACACCCAGATGCAGCCCATGCGTCCCAAGGAGGGACACCCTTTATCCGGCCCATGCGTCCCAAGGAGGGACACTCCAACCCAGCCCCACGCGTCCCAAGGAGGGACACCCTTTATCCGGCCCATGCGTCCCAAGGAGGGACACTCCAACCCAGCCCCACGCGTCCCAAGGAGGGACATCCTGTATCCGGCCCAAGCGTCCCAAGGAGGGACACCACAGCCTCCCCCACGAGTCCCAAGGAGGGACACCTGACGCATCCCCAGGCGGGATAGGTCTGCCGAAATGCCAACAGGCGAAGGCGACCTCAAAACACCTAACCCAAGAAGAGTTCGTCAGCAGGGTTTAGACACCCAACACAGGTCAGCTCTATACCCTCAGCCCAGAGGGTTGTACCGACTCTCTGTGGCCATGTTATTCCATTCCATTCATGTTAATTCCCCCGAGCAGACCAGCACGCCAGTTAGATAAAGGGTTTCACCGGAACCTTCACTTGGACCCAAGACCAATCTAAATAATTCTGTCAAAATTTCTTGGTGTCGCTAGGCCTTATTTGTTCGAGCCAGACGCTAGTGATCGTGAAAACGATGATCAGCCTCGCTCATCACGGTTACGGTTAATTTCTTCAACCTAAACAGTGCGTCAGTAGGAAGGGTGGATGCAGTTATTTGAAAATATCCCCGGTAGTTGTCTGATGGTAATAAAGTTTCAAAGCAGTGTGGGCTTTTTCAGGTTTTCTAATGCCTGGATGGTATAATGACTGATCCAAATTGATCCCATTTCTGTGGGCTTTTTCACCTCGATATTTTATTATGTCATGTAAAAATATGACGTCTATTAAGTATGATATTAGAATTTCACATTTGATTTATTTGAATCCGTAAACTAAACAACCCCACTTTGCCATTGCTAGAAGAATCTGAAAATTTACTTAGGTAAATAGGTACATACAGTTTTAGCACACAGCAAATGCTTACATGTATTTCTTATGCAACAATGAAGTTCTGTTCGTATTCTCAAAACAGTGTCGGCCCATAAGTTTTCACATGCAATTAATACTCCCTTGTTGTAACCCGTGTTAGGTTGTATAAACCTACACATGTTATTTGTCATCATTCACTTGATGGTCAGTTAATAAATTTATAACAGGTATAATTAGTTGTAACACACTTAGATTACCCGACAAAGGTTCCCATTTGGCATTTCTTGTGTCTGGGATAAATAATCAACATTATAAACATCGATCAAAGGATTAACCGATAACACGCTGATTGATTATTAATAATTACTTTTATCTTGCACAGCGGATTTGTCAAACGGTAGTGTTTATGTATGTAGATTTACTAATATATACTGAATACACTCTGTCGTGTCTGTGTCTGTGTAAAAACAGCCTCCTTCTTTCAAAGGATTAACCGCCAATACATTGATTGATTGCTCATTTTTGGCTAATAAATTACTTTTTTTAAAGAATGGCGGACATTATGCAATTAGTTGCACATTGAAGTTAATGTTTTGCAATGGCGGAGCCAAGGTGTGGTCATCTGGCCTTGGTGTTAGTGGAACTCCTGTAACTTGTTTTCTGCTGGTGATAACATAGTGTTATTGTAACAGTAAAACCCCCGACCCTTATTGAAAATTTCGGGATCCGCCTATGTTGTGTGTCTATCCGAACGTGGTGTTTTGGGTTTTTACTTCTATTCTCTAAATTTGTGCATCTCGTGATGGGTGCTTGTTTTCAGAATGGGCGTACATGAGATTTTATAGAGAAGCATGCACAATGTAAATGACTCCCCTAAAGTGACCCCCTCTTCCCTTCCCATAATTTCTAAGCAGAATTTTAAACACATCTTATGTACAAAATTGCTGAACGGTAGTCATAGATCTAATCTGCGGTAAACTGCAGTGCTTCCCTTTTCACATGGGTAGTGAAGAGAAGAGTATCACTTACACGTAAGGGGGGTACACGTACAGTTGACGGTCAACTGCACAAACCATTAAAACACAGTTTTTCCTGAAGACAAACCCATGACAATATAGATTTACCAAACGGAATCAAGCAATCTAGATACTTACGACTCTCGCCATCAAAACATTGTACAGGACAAGTATTTCCGGGACTCATACAGTAGTTATCGCTCGGACACACACACAAGGTGCATAAGCATAAAAATATATTTTAAAAATATATTTGTACTGGCCAAGTGAGCATGCACTAGTTGCCTGGATATGTGCGCTATATAATTATCCTTTTTCATTACCTACGAGGGCGAACATATCGGGGTTCATATTTTTCATAAGATGCCCCTATGGCAAAATATCACTTTGTCATGGTGACGTGACGTCATGAACAAGGCTATGACGTCAAGTTTCTTCTGTGACGTTGCGTTCTACATGCGGCGACGGCGCGTAGCCAGCCTGTGTTTGAAAGTAGATTTGGGTTTGTTTATTCCCCTCAATTTGACGACTTCGGTAATAAACAGAATATTAGGTGTCCTCCCATTACGCAGACACCTTAAAACAACAACATTTACGGTTCAGTGAACAGATTATCTACTACCTGTTACCTACACATTATAATGGAATAGTCCAAATAAAAACACAGGAACAAACTGAAGCTATATTATTTATTTGAAAGATGGATGAAAAGACATAAACATTTCTAGTCTAACGGGAGTTGGCATCATCATATTGAAAACATTAGCTTATCTATTAGAAATTGCGACACTGTTGTATCATATAAATCAAATAAAGACAAATGTGAACCTAAATATTATTCATATGGAATAAAGAAGTTATATGTTTTGCACACAATATTAAGATATATGACGAGTGCACTTAATTATGATTTATTTAGAATACATATTTTGAAAGATATGACGCATCATGTCAATGTGGCCATGAATGTGAGAACGTTTTTCATTACTACCTTGAATGTCCATTGTATACTACTCAAAGACATAAACTGTTACAATCTTTAGAAAGTATTGTTAAAATTAGAACACTGATTGGTATTAATCGTATCTTACATGGCAATGCAGGTCTCTCATTTACTGCAAATCAGAATGTTTTCAAATATGTACATATCTATATCTCTCCAACAAAACGTTTTCTCAATTAACTTCTCGTCCCTAAATATCGGTATATCCCTCGCTCTCGCTCGGGAAATACCAACATTTAGACACTCGTGTCGTAAACATAGTATGACATGGGCATTCATATAATATCCTCTATATAATAATGAAAAATGTACTTCTCTGAACACGGTAATGCCATAAGCCTTGCAATGCAGCGATTGTTAGTCATGTTAATGATGATGTCAGGGCATTGTATAAAATGATATCTCTAAGAGATATCCTGTGTTATGAAACCCCTTTACGAACTACCAGGTGGGTATTAAAAAAATACAACATTTCATTGCCAGGACTGGCATGCATTGCGCTAGTTGATAACTTTCATGGCTTCCTCAGAATGGAGCCCATGTGACCACGGACCGTTGTAGTGTGTAGCACCTGTCCGGGCACCTTGGTCGTCTTGGTATCACCTACTGTGGTACAAGGACATGTCACATTCAAAGTCACCACGGCTATAGAAACTATATCGAGTTATGGCTGTAGCGCATTTAAACCATGACACTGAAGTCGGTTTCTTCTGAAAACTAAATTTGCTTTGTCTGAGTGATGCGACTCAACTTTAGCTGAAACATTAATTCAACCCTCATTCTAGTAGTAAGTGGCACGTCTCGTATGGAACGTGAACATTTGAACGCATAATAATTATACTTTACTTGCATCTTAAGCAATAAAACATCTTTGTATTGTGAGAGTTAGTGGTTCGTCTCACTAGGAGCAAAATCATTAGAGACCAACTTATACTATCAAAGATACCACGTCATTGTTACGAAACAATAAAAGATCGTCTAATTATGTTTGGAATTGGAACTGAAACTCTAGAGACCAGGGACACTTGTGCTGAGCGATCTTAGCAAGAAGACATCAGTCAGAAGTCTATGTCTAGGGTACGTGTGGTCATTGCTAAGATGATCGTACCTTTCATACGTTAGCATCGTCATAACGCTCAGATCGTTTTGTGCAAGTGGATACTTCTCATTATATTCGGTAAAGATGGAGTTCCAAAGTCAGAGACCAGCTCAGTATTATAGAAACTGGTGTGTCTTAACTGAAGCTAAATTGGAAAAAAATCGTGAAAATATTTTTTCCAAATTTTGACAAATGTGTACTTAAAAACATATCTTAAAAGACACATTCTTGTCAAACACCGACACCAAA